CTTATTTTCATTTGTAACTTTGTCCTACATTCATGGGCCCTCAAATAAGCCCTATACTATTTGGAAATAGAAACGTATGGTACACAACTTGGAATGGTTACATTTCTGGACATCAAGAGAGTTTTAAGAGTGAATAATTTTTGTAAGAAAGAGGCCCAGTTTTGCGTTCTTGCTCAAGATGAGTAGAGCCAAAAAGCTATTATAGAAGCATATGGCAATAAAAGTTTCAAAACAGCAAACTCGGTGGTCTCTTGTTTCTTGACAGCAAGATTTACGCGTCAGTTCATTATCTTTCACAAATGACTTTCAGACTAGTCGCAAGGCTTTGATTTAAGGGCGGGTTACGTCGCTAGGGTATCCCTGAAGGGTTGATTCTACTGAAAATTCAACTGCATCATATCTAAGTATGGGAAACTTTACACTGACGATAGGATTAGGAGTTAATAGTACCATGGCGACTCGCAACTTGCAAAATACGACGGAAAGGCTTCTTGTGCGGTTTTTCAAAAACTACGGCTATGTTATAAAACGGAAACGAGATTGTTTTAATTTAAGAATTTGAGTAAACATATTCAGATGAACCAGGCGCTAAGTGAAAATCGTGATGTATTTTAAGAATTGTTGAAAATCCGTCTTTTTCGTTTCTTCTTTTCACAGTTATATTTTATTTGGAGCTGCGTGTATAGTATGTTCTCAGTCACACAACAATAACTATACTGAAATTAATTTAATTAAATGAAGATCACCGCCCTTTTCCCTGCTGTTTTGCAATTGATTACGTGCGCCTATATTTTATATGAAGTTTTACTGCATCGCTGAACGAAAAAATGATTCGAGAAAATTGAGCAACGTGTAGTAAACGTACAGCTTTGCATTTGATGAGGTGAATTTTTTTAAGCCAACCATAACTTTATTAAAGGCCATGTTATAGGAAATCACTGTATTTTTGTTTTGTTTTGTTTTGTTCTGTTTTTTTATGCGGTTTCACCGCTTCGCTAAATGAAAGAAAATCAGTGAAAATCGAGTAGTGTGTAGTCAGACGCCGCTAATGAAAATAGATTGTACAATGTGTTTGCCATTAAAAGAACCCTCACATCATCTGCATCTTCATTGCATCAGTATTCAATTAGGATCGGCGCGCAAACCCAAGTAATTAAAGAGTCATTTTCTAAGAACACACTTTTTGTTATTGTTTCAGTTAAATTTCCACTTCAAACTTCACTTCAAAAAGGCATTTACTCGCGTGTGAACCGAGATTATTCCTTTCTGGAAAAGTGACCTATGGATTAATGGCTAAATTTTAGAAAATTTCGCGAAAAATGTTGGTGGGAAATGTCTACACGAACCTCTACCACACTTCAGAAAAGACACGCTTGTTTTCCAGCAATATGGCTTGGTTAGTGCTTGTGTACTGACATACAGTAAATGCAAACTCGTCCTATTAGGCCGGATCGAACGTACATTTTGCTTTTACTGGGTTCATGAATTTCGTGCGTTGTACAGAGTCTGTGTTGGTTGTTTTCCGGGGTTCACATGAACTCTGTTCAGATATTGCGTCACTAGTACTGTAGAAACGTGAATCGTGAGAGGGGTTAGTTAGTCTACAAGGACCATGAACGCAGCTTGTCAGACTAATATTTCAGTTTGTTTTGCCGTATAACTCAGTCAATTTCGGAAATTTCCCTGAAAGTAAGCAAATTGTTTTATCATAGGTGATGAAGATCTCAATTTACATCCTTTTGGTTAGAGAAAGATTCCCCTGTTATGTTCTGTTCTGGCGGGTTTCTTCAATACTCTGTAACGGAAACCGCAGATATTCTTTCAGTTGCCAAGATATGCGAGTTCACACAGACAAGATCAATAGCTTTGTGTACACCTTTTGACCTCGTCTCGGGCGGCAAATTTTATCTCATGATTCTTGGAATTTGCCTAATTTAAAGAAACTGCTTTCAGTAAAAAGGCATCTAGGGGAAAAGGAACAGCCTTGAAACTGAAATGAATGTTCTATTTTCCGCTAATTTGGGAGAAATAAAATAATTATGTATCCGGTCACCTTCTGTGATGTTATTTCCACTCGTTTTGGGTGTCATTATGAGAAATATAGCGTTTAAAAATACGTTTAAACATCAAAACTGATTAATTTATTTCAAAATGGCTTCATTTTTTAAAATTTCGTTCTTGTCAAAGCAAAACGAGTAAAATTCATTCAAGACTTTTTGCGCCAAAAGGAGTAACTCTTAAACAAATTGGATCCACATTATCCAAAACATCGTCCTTGTACAAATTTTTGGGTTTGCCTCGATTTGGGTATCTCACTGCTCACCCTGTTGTACAAAAATAAATGGATGAAAACGCAATTTTTAGTAATCGATCCGAATTGGAAATAGATAAAAATAAATTCTCCTATACATGGTGTTGGAACATTCATTCAATTTTGAAAAGATATTATTTGTGAATCTTTGACTTTTACGACGACTTCGTTTTGCAATGTTTGCACGCATTTAACGAAACTTCCCACAGGTCATGACTCATCTTCCTATAATTCGACTAGCGAGTCGATTGTATAAAAACAGCTCTTTTTATAAAAGTTAACTCAATTATTGTCTGAACTCGTCTAAAATTCCTTTCTAAAGATTGTCTTCTTTCGGTGATATGTAAATAGTATTTTGGACACTTCTCGTATAAATTCAAAGTTGGGTGATAAACACAGAGAGAAACCTACATTCGGGTAGAACACAAAGTCAGCTTTGATTTTCAAGTAAGTTTATTGAAGGGAATCGAAGGCAATACCATTCGAACTATAAGTAAAATATGGGGTGAATAGAACTTGAGTTATCTTGGAATATAAAGAAATTCCAAACATATGTGAAACTATAAACTATCAACAATTAAATATTTACCAACATGATGACTTACTGACGTGAATGAAAGTGATCCTCGCAGTAATGTGCACTACTTAGGCAGCAGTGAAAATAAGGCCTGAAAAAAACTCAGGCCTGTACGGGATTTAAACCCATGACCTCTGCGATACCGGTGCAGCGCTCTACCAACTGAGCTAACAAGCCAACTGGGAGCTGGTTATGATGTTGGTTCTAAATAAACCCGTGAAGTGATGAATAAACGGTTAAGAATATATGAAAGTCATATATTTGAACTGCGGATAAAGACGTGAATGGCCTTATTTTCACTACTGCCTAAGTAGTGCACATTACTGCGAGGATCACTTTCATTCACGTCTTTATCCGCAGTTCCAATATATGACTTTCATATATTCTTAACCGTTTATGATGACTTACTGAATAAGGAAGATGATGAATTTAGCGCTCGGTTGTGGAATAAAGAAGGTCTTTTTGTTTCAATAAGACCGTGAGACAAAGAACTCCGTGGTGAAACAAGCGATATACTTTGACACGTACGCGTCCTGCATGCTGCTTGGATCAGCAATGTCAAAAGCGTCTTGTGAGTCAACAGCATAAGAATGTTGTTTTTTTTCCGAGATTCTGGTAATGATTGCATTATACTAAGACCTAGTTAATAGCTAGTATGAATAAAACGTTTGCATAGATGCAATGTAATCATGCAGCTCTGGAGATCTGAACACGGTCAATTCGATCTGATCTATTCAACGTTCTACAAGTGATTTTTATGTTTTCAGCTCTAAAAATTTCATCTGTCTTCTATAATTGGTGTTGAAACGTTCATTCAATTTTGAAAAGGTGTTATTTGTGAACCTTTGACTTTTACAACGACCTCGTTTTGCAATTTAACTTAATGTTTGCACGCATTTAACGAAACTTCCCACAGGTCACGACTCATCTTCTTATATTTGAACTAGAGAGGAAATTGTATAAAAACAGCTCTATGTATAAACGTTAACTCAATTATTGTCTGAACTCGTCTAAAAATCCTTTCTAAAGAGTTTCTTCTTTCGTTGATATATAAATAGATTGGAAAAAGGACACTACATGTACTTGAGAACGAATAAAGATAAAAATGGCGCTCAGAAATTATTTGCTTTGTCTACAGAAAGCTTTGCTAGTATAGTATAGTATAGTATAGAGGTTTTAGTTCTTCAACGAGCAGAAACATTGCACAACATAACCTATCCGCAAAAATAGAACATTTCCCATGTAGTTGTATTCATAATAAGGGATAGTCGGAAGTTATGGAATTTTTTAGATGTTTCAGCTCCCACGATTAATATGATTAGTAAAGTTGCGAGACTTAAGAGTGGTCTCCATTTTTACACGATTTTAGAGATTTTAGAGACGTAATTTTTGTGTTTTTATTTTCCTGAAAATACGAATTAGGATTTCTTACAAGGTAGAAAATGGTAAAAGTGTTGTAGAATCTCAGGAAACGTCTAATCTCTCGCTCCAGTCCTTTTGCATTACGCAGTGTGCTTGTTTCCTTTACCAAGCTGGCGTGTTTTCAAAACAACTTACATAAAAAGTTTTCCTGAACGGATTATAACCAAATTAACAACAAATTGGAAATTTACGGTTAATTCCCTGCATTTCTGTGGCTATCCGCTGTGGTTTTTTTTATCCAGGGAGGTTATTATTCCTGCCGTCATCGGAAAGAGAGACCCATATGAGCTCAATAGGAGAGATTCTGAAAACGCCCTCCACCGCAGGGAAAATCCCTACAAAAATTTCTATAGAAGTGAATTCCAGAAAAAACTACTGCAGGGAGATACTATTCATTTCGTGCGTAAACTCGCCGTGAAACGACAATTTTTCACCTCAAACGGCGAATAGCAGAAAGATAGGTGGAATTTATGTCGCAATTGGAAATAACCTGATGCAAGTGATGACGGACAACGTACCACCAGTTGTTATGTTATGATTTTATTGGTCAAAGTTGACTTCAAGGGTAACATAAAATCGATCGGGGTAAAGTCATTTTTAGCTTGTTCCTGTTAGTCACGAGAAGGGAAAGAAGTAAAAAGCTAATTTTCGGCAAGCGTCGCTCGTTTGTAAAGGAGAGGTCCATTCAGCATGCGTGAAAGAGGAGGCAAAGTTGGCTTGTGCAGATTACAATGGTTTTTCTCGATTATCTTTATTGCTTTTGTGATAGCTGTGGCATGTTTTGTGAACGAGGCGGAATCAGTGCGCGAGTCGAAGGCTGTGAAAAACTCTAAATCCAACAAAGAAAAGGTAAAACTATTTGAAAAAGCGATTATGAAAGGAGTTGTTTACTGGAAATCAAATGCAGGACTAAGGAAAGAGGTGATCTTAAGATGTTTTGAAGATGTTAGGTCGAATGGGTACCGGAGAGGTGTATTATTTTATCGCACGCGCTTCATCTGACATCAAAACAAAAACTAAGGGTTGCTTACTTAATAAAGAGGGTTACATTTGTCTTCGGAGATTCATTGGCGATAGGCCGGGGAGTTAGCTTTATTCATGTGTCGTGATAGAATGTTTTCTCAGTTAACGCACAGACAAGTTGTTGTTCAAAGTTGTCAATGGCCTGAACTTAATGAAATCAGTTCTCCAGTCTCGCTAGATATTGGTTACTGATAGCCACCCAGAATTAAAGCAGGCTTTATCAACAATGATATTGCGTGGCAAACTAAAAATAATATGATCATTAGTTGTTAAAAAGTTCTTATATTCATCTCTCAACTGTGTGTATACATAAAACTGTATAAAATATCCTTAAACCAAATATTTCCTTTACAAATCAGAATTTGACGGGTGATAGCGGATGTGATAACAGTAGAATAATATTAACAGTACAATTCGGATTTAAATCTTCATATCATTGGTAATAAAACATTATGTAATAGAATATGCAATATTTATCGGTATATTTCCTTAAACAGGACGCCGGACAAAAGGAAATAATCCATTTTGTTTTTAAAATGCTTTTTGTCTGACCGAGAGAAATGTTACAACTGGAAACGTGAATTTCGCAAGACAACAGATGTGATTTCTATTTGTTTACCACAAATGTTTCGCTTTCCTATGTTAAAAAAAAACAAAGAAAATTCATGGTTTAAAGAAAGATAACGAAGAGCAAACATTTTGAAAGTTACTCTGCGAATCTGAGAATTTTCTCATTTATTTTCCTTGCGGCTTTTCATTTGTTTTGTGTTGTTTTTTCCGCACCAGGGGAAATGCAGAATCCTACAAGATAAGGAGAAATATTACTACGTGCAATGTGGCGGAGAAGGAAAGAAAAAGAAAAGTTCGGGCTCGGGAAAAGAAAATGAAAAACGCCCGGGTGGTGAGGTAAGTCAGAACACGGACATTACTCATAGTTTAATGGAATCTCCCTATAAGCAAATAAAAACGCTCAAGTTTAATGGGTTCTCTTTATTACAAAATGAAGTAAATTTCACGAATTTAAAAACAACAACAACAACAACATTACGCAAACCCGCAGACTACAAACATTATTGATAGCATTTCTTTCTAAACAAATTCCGATGCTGGCAAAGACTCGTCACGTTTTGTTTGATCGAGGTCACATAGAAAACTGTGGGAGTTTGAACTTTGTTCGTCAGTTAATGATACATCTATTTGGATATTATGTAATTTGGGTGTTTTCTTCACAAACATAAAAATGAGAAAATCAAATTAAAGAACCTGTTCACAATAAGGATTTCATTCTTTCTTTCCTTCCAATTGTCTCCTTTATGGCGTTATGAGTTATAGTGTGATCAAAAAAACAAGTTTGGTTTCAACACTAAAACCCGATATTTTTCGAACTCTTCAACAAAAAGTTGGGCAGCTTTTACAAGGCCAAGTTTCATCTCCTTTCCTTGTTTTCTCTCGATTTACACAAAGCCCTTCTGAGGTGGTACAATTGACGCCCTGTATTAAAGCACTAAACTGTTAAAACATTTTGTCGTATTCTCGATACTCTTGTTTGAGGACAAACCTTTCATCATGTCCTCAGACAGTCGGTTCAAGTAGAAACCGAAGTAGTTAACTTTTTCAGTGTAAAGTCGGGTTGCATTGTGCAAAGTAGATGAACACACTCTTAGTCGCCCTTCGTGCAAACTTAACTCGTTCTTTTTAAATTTCGTTTCTTGTTTAACCCTTTTTCTGGATTTAATTTTATAAGGTGCCAAGCGCAGCGTGAAATATCCGGACAACGCGTTTCAGTAATTAATTAAAGTATATTACAGCTTTACCGCCAAAGAGGTTTTCTCGAAGATTCCTTCTCAAATTTAAACCCTAACCCTTTCCGCTTTTTCTTGAAATGGCTTTCTGATGAAATTACTTCTGTTAGTACATATCAACGATTTCAAAACTAGATTCTAACGAATACAACATAAAGCAAGTTAACTACTTTTTTCCGGTATCGAGTTGACACCGCATGAGTCAAAACTAACACATGATCTGAATTTTCCTCGTTTTTCATCAATTCACCGGCTAAAGAACTCTATCATCGGCTATGTGTTTGTGATGTATCTACTGCCGAAGAAGTATTTCATTGTCACTCTCCACAGCTTGTAAGCGATTTTAAACCCATTGTACCTCATCGTAGTTCGTTCTACAAATTCTTCGCAAATTTTTCACGCCCAGTCGTATGGACCCCTGTAATGGCTTAAAACATATGCTGCTTCACAAATGTCCTTTATTTTGTAGCTTCTCTCCTTCTACCCTTCAAAGTCTATCCTATACTTATCGCTCATTAGATGGGGACACCTGAATGTATTAATTTCACAATGTGATGCGCTGATTTGCGACATGTGTTTTAGTCGGAAATCTCTATTTGAGTACAGTTGACCGACCAAGCCGATAACCATACCTTATGATGTGGTAATTAGATACCTAAAAATTACTCACTTAGTTAGTATCAAACACGTTTCAGCCAAATAAGAGTTTTAAGCATGTTTGGAACGCCATCTGAATCATTCGACTTTTTGAACTCTAAAAAGTTGCATTGATTGCACGCTGCCTTTTTTTAAAGCCTTCTTTACTTACTGCTCCTACTTTAGCCTCCGAGAAAGACCTCATTATTATTAAAGCTGCCAAACCCGCGTTTCTCAGCCCGCGGGAAGATTTGAGACAAGCCGGGTAGAGGTTTGCCGGGTTTCCCTGTACCAGACCCTTGGAATATCTCTTGCCAGCTGGGGTTGAACATTATTTAGACATATACTCAATATTATTGGTCGTTCTTTGTATTTTCACTACCCCAGCAGGATCGTTAAAATTCGGTAAAATTTTTAAAAATCCTCGACGATATTACACATCAAAACATCTCACAACTTATATGCCTTCATTAATACTGTTTCTTGTGGTCGTCAACAGTGCTCCAGTGAATGTCGCGGGAGACGTGGGCCGAGAGGCCAGCGAGGACGGACTGGGTCAAAAGGACAGCCAGGCCCTAAAGGACCAAGGGGACCCCCGGTCAGTACATACTTTGTGCGTTACCTTGCCCTGATATCGTAAAATGGTATAAAAGTGGAGTGATGAATGTTTTTATTCATATTTATTCATTTATTTTAGGGAGCGAATGGGCGAGATGGACGGAATGGGCAACCAGGACCTCAAGGACTTGTGAGTAAATGAAGCTTACCTACTTTCAGTTGTGAACGTTCTAAACAAAGCAAAAAGGCTTTAGTCTGTCACCAGTTTAGCTAACTCAGAGAGTCTACTGAAGAATCTGACATCACAAAGGATATCAGGTCAAATTTCACAGTGGCCTAAAAGTCTTTACAATTGTGAAAAAAAAAGTTTTCCCGCTTGAAATGAAAAAAGATTCAAGCAGTGTATAACCTTTTACCAAAAGATTATGTTCTCTTGCCTTCCACAGATTACGAAAGGGCAAAAAAAATTGACGTTGGCATCACTTTAAATAATCCCCACTGACATTCCCGAAAAGTTCCCTCACTTCAATCTTCCTCCCATTTATCCACTTATGGTTATTTGCTTCATATTTTTCAAGCCTGGACCGCCATCAGTACAGGGAGCTCCTGGAAACAAGGGGATCATGGGACAGAAGGGAGAACAAGTATGAACTTAATGCAAACTTAATGCTTGTAGTAAATATTTTTGACACCATTTTTGCGACTGCATTTTGTCATTCTCATCTGTAGAAATATCCATTTAATGAGTACGTTGGGTCTCAATTGAAGACACAGTAGACTTGAGTAAAAACTTATGGAGTTCACTGAAAATCTTATTGGACAATAGTTCAATTTGACGGACGTTAATGGAGCAAGGACATTTACTTTCAGCGTTAGGTTTTTGAAAATTCATTATTTCTGCCGAGTTCATTGAAACGATACTAAAACTAAAATCAATGCATTTACCAACGTTCTCCAAGGTCAACTTATTAAGATCTTAAAATATAAATATGTCTACCAGACAGTTTGTTACCCTTGTCACTTTGAAATGTCCATTATAAAAATGATTACGCCTTTTCGTAGGATGTAACAGCTCAAGAAATAGTCTATTTTTATGCGTTTTTGATGTATCTAACACGTTGTCTTCATCTTTCCGCACTGATAGTTAGGACTTTTAGATGTCTGCTATTTTCGAAACTTTCCCAGACATTGTGACGCCTTTATCTATTTTAGGGACTTCGTGGCCCAGCCGGTATTCCAGGCCCTCCCGGTACACCAGGGGGCTGTGTGAGATCAGCGTCATCCAACACCACTACCCCCACAGTATTTTGCGTACCAGGTAAACAAGGTCTTAAAGGAAATAAAGGGGACAACGGAAACCGTGGATTACCGGGCCCCCCTGGGTCGCGAGGAAACAGAGGCCCACGAGGATATAGGGGTAACGGAGGCCCCCCTGGGAAAAAGGGTGACATTGGGCCCCCAGGCAACTTTTCTGATCTGGAATGTTTCCCTCGGTACACCAGCTGGGTAAATAGAAGTGAGTGGTTCGATAAATATCCGGAGGTCCATTGTGACAGGAGAGAATTCTTACAAGGCTACAGTCTAGAAATAAGTGATGCTCGCGGGCAGAGAAGATTCAAATACACTTGTTGTACACTTAGGCTGACCAATAGTCCTTGAAAAGCTCAGCAAATGAACTGAGTGACGACTGAAATAAACAGCCAACAAACAATGACTCGACTCTCAACAAACAATGGACGGAAATTTTGATTAATGACAAAGTTGAAGATAGTATCTCTGAAGAAACATGAGATGAGACAAAAGGATTTTTTATGCATTGAAATGAAGATACATATAGTTAACACCTGTGGGATAACATTTCTTGACTATCCGTGCCCACGTAAAAAATTTATCAACTGTAGTCAAGTTTAATCAGAAGCCAGAAATTATTGCTCCTGACGTACACAATTACATTTGATGTAATCTTCCTCAGAGATTATAGATAAACAGTCATACAGAAACCAAAATGACGCGTTGCGCTAAAAGGTCGACGGAAAGATATTTGCTTCCAAATCACGTTATCTTAGTCTTTAAAAAACAAGAATATGTATCATCGTGCCATATTCACCATAATGACGATTAATTGTACGTAGTACGCTGTGAATTAGGATTTCAGTTTTTTGTTTCAAGGGTGTGGGCTATCAGCTGGGCACTAATGCGAGCATTGATTTGCTCCAAAAAGCAGTTGAGATAGAAGACAGTTACAGATCATTAGAGTTACTTAAACATACTCCAAAATAAATGTGAGAGTTACGATGTTAGAGCCTTTGACTCACTGCTCTTTCTAACGCCATTGTAAAAATTACCGGAGGAAGGCTATAGAAGCTTGGGCTGCACGCGCACTTGGGTGTTTGGATAAAAGTCACCCCTAGTTTCCGAATTCTGGACCATCCATTCTAGTCTCGACGTTTCTATCGCACAACAGGTTTTTATCAAGTTTCAAGGCTTTGAGCGTCAGGTGCTGAAATATTTGCTTCGAGAAGGATTTATATAATGTAAAGAAATATTGAATGTCTTTTTCCTCTGTGGCGGCTATGTTGTAATCCTTTTAAAATAACTCAGTTAATGATAAAGGGTTTTTCTCATCCTTCAATCGTTGACCTTTACACAATTTTCGCAGCACCTGATGTTTCCTGAACCCATAGTTATCGTAACTTGGTTTGAGAAATAAAAGTTGCAACTACATCTGTTCTTTCGAGCGAGATCCTTTTCGAATCAAACTTATTAAGCCCACAGTCAATGATTTGAACCTGGGACATAAACTCTACCGTAAAGTGTGATCTTCTCTGGGATGGTAAGGCTCTTACGAAGGTCTTTTTTCTCGCAGGCATTTACTAACTTTGGAAAAACCTGTGCAGAAGTCATTATCAGAGTCAGATGAAGATGATGATCTGTTCTCAGGTTTTGAAAAGATCAGCTTGTGACACCCCGAGCTTTAAGTTCTCGAGTTTTTACGTGAAATCAAGAACTAAATAAGGATAAGGGGGAGAGGGAGGGAGGCTCCTGGTTTAACCTTTGGGATTTGTCAATTACATTTCAACGGTGACGAACTCGACAATAGGTAATTGCAAATTCAGGGGGGACTGTTTTATTATTTGCCTCCTAGAACAGATTGTTTGTCACTGGAACTCACTCGGAAATATACAAGTTCCTCATTCAGACGAATAAACGTTTTTCTTCTGTAAGGTATGCCCAGCTGGCGAGTGAATTCAGTTCATAAAAGAGAGAGCCCTTAAAGTGCCGGGATATATTTGTCTGGTATAATTCTGACAAGAAAAATTCAAGAAAACGCGAAGCAATTTAGATTCATTTGATTTTTCCTCAAAGCTTTTGATCGTCTAGAAGAATGCGTCAAATTTCTTCATGAAATGGAAACAATGTAATCAGCTCTGGAGATCTGAAGATGGTCATTTCGATCTGAACTATTCAAATTTGTGCAAATGATTTTCATGTTTTCGGCTCTAAGAGCCTGTTTACACGGAGGTGGGGGACCCCAGGTAGGTGAAGTAACCCGCCCAGGTGGGGTAGCCCGCCTGTCCATATGATTTCTTATTTTATCTTGATCACGTTTACACGATAGGTGGGGTGACAATTTGCCATGTAAACGTCTCAAGGTGGGATAACCCGCCTAGCCGGGTTTGCGTTCATGGTAAAAAGCTCAAAAGCGAAACGTGTATGTTTTAAAACTTTGTACATTTCCTAGCCTTCTCATGGCAGAAATCACCAGGAACCGCAACGGACACACAAGGAATGTAAAATGTTCACATTTCGGAATACTTATCGTTGTAAATCGACCATATTTCGTTTCCCAAACTATTCCGTATAACGTATTAGGTCAACGGTTCCTCGCGTAACCTAACACCGCGTAACACAACGCGTGACGCTTTCATGAATAAATACATATTTTTCCGAGAATTAATCTTTCGTCTTTCTCGAGATGTGAGCTTGGGACCCCTCTGCTCAAACTCCTTAATTGCAAGCGCAACAACAACCTCTAGAAACCTAACCCCAGTACCCCGGGGTTGTAAGATTGTATGTAAACGCGTTTTATTTTTCGACCAAGGCCAGGCGGGTTACCTCACCTATCTGGGGTCCCTCACCTATCTGGGGTCCCTCACCTCCATGTAAACAGGCCCTAAAATTTCGTCTGTGTCTTCTATAATTGGTGTTGAAACGTTTATTCAATTTTGAAAAGATGTTATTTGTGAACCTTTGACTTTTACAACGACCTCGTCTTGTAATATAACTTAATGTTTGCACGCATTTAACGAAACTTCTTACAGGTCACGACTCATCTTCTTATATTTGAGCTAGAGAGGAAATTGTATGAAAACAGCTCTATTTATTAACGTTAACTCTATTATTGTCTGAAGAGTTTTTACTTTCGTTGATATGTAAATAGATAGGAAAAATGATTTTGGACACTACATGTACTCGAGAACGAATAAAGTTAAAAATGGCGCTGAGGAATTATTTGCTTTGTGTAAGGAAAGTTTTGTTGGTAAAGTTCGTGATTTAGGACAGGAATTTTTTGTTCTTCAACGAGCAGAAACATTGCATAACGTAACCTATCTGCAAAAATAGAACATTTCCCATGTAGTTGTATTCATAATTAGGGATAGTCGGAAGTTATGGAATTTTTGAAATGTTTCAGCTCCTACGATTAATATTATTAGTTAAGTTGTGAGACTTTAGAGTGGTCTCCATTTTTACACGTTTTTAGGGATTTAGAGACGTAATTTTTGGGCTTTAATTTTTTCTGCAAATACGAATTAAGATTTCTTACAAGGTAGAAAATGGTAAAAGTGTTGTAGAATCTCAGGAAACGTCTAATCTCTCGCTCCAGTCCCTTCGCATTACGCAGAGTGCTTGTTTCCTTTACCAAGCTAGCGTGTTTTAAAAACAACATACATAAAAAGTTTCCCTGAACAGATTATGGCCAAATTAACACCAAATTGGAAATCTACGGTTAATTCCCTGCATTTCCGTGGCTATCCGCTGTGGTTTTTTATCCAAGGGGGCTATTATTCTTGCTGTAATCGGAAAGAGAGACCCATATGAGACACTATTCATTTCGTGCTTAAACTCGCCGTGAAACGACAATTTTTTCATCTCAAACGGCGAATAGCAGAAAGATAGGTGGAATTTATGTCGCAATTGGAAATAACCTGATGCAAGTGATGACGGACAACGTACCACCAGTTGTTATGTTATGATTTTATTGGTCAAAGTTGACTTCAAGGGTAACATAAAATCGATCGAGGTAAAGTCATTTTTAGCTTGTTCCTGTTAGTCACGAGAAGGGAAAGAAGTGGAAAGCTAATTTTCAGCAAACGTTGCTTGTTTGTGAAGGAGAAGCTCATTCAGTATGCGTGAAAGAGGAGGCAAAGGTGGCTTGTACAGATTACAATGGTTTTTCTCGAATATCTTTATTGCTTTTGTGATAGCTGTGGCATGTTTTGTGAACGAGGCGGAATCAGTGCGCGAGTCGAAAGCTGCGGAAAACTCTAAATCCAACAAAGAAAAGGTAAAACTATCTGAAAATGCGATTATGAAAGGAGTTGTTTACTGGAAATGAAATGCAGAACTAAGGAAAGGGGTGATCTTAGGATGTTTTGAAGATGTTAGGTCGAATGGGTACCGGAGAGGCGTATTATTTTATCGCACGTAGTTTATCTGACATCAAAACAAAAACTAAGGGTTGTTTACTTAATAAAGATAGTTGTTGTTGAAGATTCGTTGGCGATAGGCCGGGGAGTTAGCTTTATTCGTGTGTAACCAAAGAATATTTTCTCAGTTACCGCACAGACAAGTTGTTGTTCAAAGTTGTCAATGACCTGAACTCAATGAAATCAGTTCTCCAGTCTCGCCAGATATTGGTTACTGATAGCCACCCAGAATCAAAGCAGGCTCTATCAACAATGATATTGCGTGGCAAACTAAAAATAACACTATCATTAGTTGTTAAAAAGTTCTTATATACATCTCTCAACTGTGTTTGTACATACAACTGTATAAAACATCCTTAAACCAAACATGTCCTTTACAAATCAGAATTTTACGGCTGGTAGCGGATGTGGTAACAGTAGCCGAATAATATTAACGGTGCAATTCGTATTTAAATCTTCATATCATTGGTAATAAAACATTATGTAATAGAATATGTATTTTTATTGTTATTGTTGTATTTCCTTAAACAGGACGCCGGACAAAGGGAACTATCAATTTTGTTTTTTAAAATGCTTTTTTGTCTAAGAGAAATGTTACAACTGGAAAACATGTGTTTCGGAAGACAACAGATGTGATTTCTATTTGTTTGCCACAAATATTTCGCTTTCCTGTGTTAAAAAAGCAAAGAAAATTCTTGGTTTAAAGATAGATAATTAAGAGCAAAAATTTTTTAAATATTGCCCTGCGGATCCGCGAATTTTCTTATTTATTTTCCTTATTGTTTTATTTTTTTCGCACCAGGGGAAATGCAGAATCCTTCAAGATAAGGAGAAATATTACTACGTGCAATGTGGCGGAGCCGGAAAGAAGAAAAAAGGTTCAGGCTCGGAAAAAGGAAACGAAAAGAGCCCGGGTGGTGAGGTAAGTCAGAACAAGAACATTATTACTCATAGTTTAATGGAATCTCCCTATAAGCAAATAAAAACGCTGAAGTTTAATAGCTTCTCTTTATTACAAAATAAAGAAAAATTTCAAGAATTAAAAAAAATCCCAGCATTACACAAACCCGCTTGCAGACTAAAAACGTTATAAATTGCAGTTCTTTCTAAATAAATTCTGATGCTGAAAAAGGTATATCACGTTTTGTTTGATCGAGGTCACATAGAAAACTGTGGGAGTTTGAACTTTGTTCGTCAGTTAATGATACATCTACTTGGATATTATGTAATTTGGGTGTTTTCTTCACAAACATGAAAAATGAGAAAATCAAGTTAAAGAACCTGTTCGAAATAAGGATTTCATTCTTTCTTTCCTTTCAATCGTATCCTTGAGTTATGACGTGATCGAAAAAACAAGTTTGGTTTCCACACTAAAACCCGATATTTTTCTAACTCTTCAGCAAAAAGGTTGGGCAGCTTTCACAAGGCCAAGTTTCATCTCCTTTCCTTGTTTTCTCTCGATTTACACAAAGCCCTTCTGAGATGATAAAATTGATGCCCCGTATCAAAGCACTAAACTGTTAAAATTCTTAATACTCCTGTTTGAGGACAAACCTTTCATCATGTCTTCAGACAGTCGGTTCAAGTAGAGACCGAAGTAGCTGACTTTTTCGGCATAAAATCGGGTTGCATTCTGCAAAATAGATGAATACACTCTCAGTCGTCCTTCGTGCAAACTTAACTCGTTCTTTTTAAATTTCGTTTCTAGTTTAACCCTTTTTCTGGATTTAATTTTATAAGGTGCCAAGCGCAGCGTGAAATATCCGGACAGCGCGGTTCAGTAATTAATTAAATACAACTTTACCACCAAAGAGGTTTTCTCGAAGATTCCTTCTCAAATGTTAGCCCTAGCCCTTTCTGCTCTCTCTTGGTATGGCTTTCTAATGAAGTTACCCCTATAAGTACATATCAACGATTTTAAAACTAAATTCTAACGAATACAACATAAAGCAAGTTAACTACTCTTCTATAGTATCGAATTGACACCGCGTGAGCCAAACCTATCACATGATCTGAATTTTCCTCGTTTTTCATCAATTCACTGCGGGCTAAATAACTCTCTCATCGGCTATGTGTTTTTGATGTATCTACTGCCGAAGAAGTCTTTCATTGTCACTCTCCACAGCTTGTAAGCGATTTTAAACCCATTGTACCTCATCGTAGTTCGTTCTACAATTCTTCCCAAATTTTTCACGCCCAGTAGCATGGACCCCTGTAATGGCTTAAAAACATATGCTGCTTCACAAATGTCTTTTATTCTGTAGCTTCTCTCACTCTACCCTTCAAAGTCTATCCTATACTCATCGCTCATTAGATGAGGACACCCCCATGTATTAATTTCACAATGTGATGCGCTGATTTGCGACATGTGTTTTAGTCGGAAATCTCTATTTGGGTACATTTGACCGACCAAGCCGATAACCATATTTTATGGTGTGGTAATTAATTTAGTTATTTGGATTTCCATACCTAAAAAATTACTCACTTAGTTAGTATCAAACACGTTTCAGCCAAATAAGAGTTTTAAGCATGTTTGGAATGCCATCTGAATCATTCGACTTTTTGAACTCTAAAAAGTTGCATTGATTACACGCTGGCTCTTTTTTTAAGCCTTCTTTACTTACTGCTCCCACTTAAGTCTCCGAGAAAGACCTCATTAATATATAGATTTAGCTAAGCCTAATAGCGGAGCTCTTGTTAGTTAATTTTCTAGCCCTTAGGGATCAGTTCGGGGGGTGGGGAGGGAGGGGAAGAATTGACGAGGTCTGGAACCTGGGGACGATGTTCTCACAACTTGCAAAGCGATCAACACGCATGCTAGTCATCGGTATCTTCGAGGAGCTGAGGACCTTCGTTGTTGTCTCTGATGCTCTGAGAAAGGAATCTTTTCTTCTTCAGATGAAGTATGCGATGTCAGCATCATTTGAAATTATACTCTTTTGAGCGTACCTGATAATATTGGTTCGGGAAAGTGAGCCAAAATTGAAAGAAACGACGGTAAACTACTTCAAGTTAAGACATCACCGCTCGATTGAAGAGTATACACGTGATAACAGTGAAACAGTAAATCAAGACGCCAGAATCGCATGGGCTTCTCTTATGTCTTCTCTTGAAGTTACCAGGTATGACTGCTTACCCCACCGTTTTTCCCTAGCGTTGCAACCTCCTCTGTTTCGCGTAAAAATTAAGAAGAAAAGTCATTTTCAACTCGTGTTTGAACCTGTAATTTTCTTTTAAGATTTTTCCTCTTTTGGCTATTCTTGTTTCATCATGTCCTCTGGTTGAAAATTCAAGGCGTCTTTTTGAGACTTTTTCTGTCATTTGATTCAGTAACCTCTGCTGTAACTGCTTACAATGTAGGTGTGTTTAAACCAACTTTCCATGATCTTAGCAACTCTAGCTAATGAAATACGAAATTTGTCTAACATGTTTCTTGCCTTGTAAAAGTGTAACAGTGAATTTTATTGATGTGTAAAAAGTTTTCATTTGACTATCGACTGGCAAGTCGTTGTATTATAAGTCAGGGAAACATACATCATGTTTGAAATGTCATGTCTACAGTAAGCAAATAGGATTGAGGAGGGTGTATGTGGGAATAGGCTCGCTTGTCTGTATCGTTAATTTGCTAATTGCTCCTGTTGCCAATGTTTTGATGAGGTTGGGCTGTCAAGTTGAAGGAACTGAGGATTTTAGAAGGCAGTGACTTTTTTCAAACCTGGAAGATATCATCATGAAAGCCATACTTGTGCCTGGTAACTCTTTCTTATTCTGATAAATTAGTTTTTGAAGGATACAATATTTTGTTACTAAAATTTGATGCATAGGCTGTGCACAAAACTTTCATTTGACTATACTTTTATAGCCAATATCAATCCTTACACATAATGAGATGTTAGTGGGATCAGAGGAAAAAATAATGTACCAAACATCTGTAAGATTTCATGTAATTATTTTAGTTACATGAATATTAACTGATACTAGATCTAAGAGTATTCAAAAGAATGTAAAATTTGTTTGAAAAATTAGAACTCAGCATGGGCCAAATAAACAAGATTCTTAGAAAAAGAAATGTTTACTAATGCAAAATGCTGAGCAACCTTTTTTACCATACCTGCCTGTGGCCCCACGGCACATAGTAAAGTCATTCAAAGTAGTGATAATCCCAGTTTTATAAGTTAAAAACACACACGCGTACAGATTTCTTGTAAACCGGTAGTTCAGGCCTGTCATGGCTTCAAAATTTTGATGCACATCTCAAAAGGAGAAGAAATAAATTTCAACTTTCTATTTATTCAGTTTAGGTTAGTGAGGTAAATTGAGTCAAACTTTCCTTCAATGACAGGTTCAAGAAATTTTCTCAACTAATTTATAAGGTTAGCCTACCTACTGTACTGATGATGCACAAAAGAACTCTCTGTGGTAAGAGGGCAGGCTTTCCTTTCTTCATTAGAAAAATATTGAGGTTATCATCTTTCCACAAGCTCAGTGGAAAGTGAGAGTGAGCAAGACTGATAGTGACTATGTTATTTGAGTAAATATCCTGGCCAGAGAAGGATAAAAGGCAAGGTATGGTCTGCACAACTTTTTAATTTTAATTTTATAATCTATTAATCTAAGTCATTTATATTCTTGCTTTGTGCGTTATGTGAATGCCAATTAATTTCACTTTCATATAGGTCAAAGTAAAAACATTAATTAAAATAGCAGAGCCCACTTTAATTTCAGTCCTAATTAAAGGGGGATCCTTGCTTTTCCAGTTTCCCACCCTTTAAAACTCAGATATCTTGTGACCAATTCCTTATATCAATGTTTAGTTTGGTTATGAGCATTGGTAAGAAACACCATGCATTAATGAAAGCTTGAGCAAGATTATTTAATGCAATTCAAATAACAATATTACATGTTACAATGTGGCAACTTACGCAGCAAAATTATATAATGACACAATTTCAAACAAAGGAAGTCAGGTTATTGACTCACCTGCCTCAACTATTGAGGGCTTGGGGTACAAAGAAATTGGTATGGTAAACAGTTACAATTAACACAAAGTTGAAAGTTTGAAAGCGAAGAGATATACATTACAATCATCAAATCCTATGCATCCTAGCCGAAAAAGGGCCAGTTACCACTATAACTTCTCCAAGACATTCATACTTGCAGGAAATCATTAATTTTTGTCACTAGGTGGTACTGTACTTACAATAGTTCTACTGACACAAACGTATTTTTCTCACAGCATATGACTCTACAGGCCATGTGGAAGGTTCCTCCTTAGGGACTGACATTTCAATTACCGCAACAAACTGTAATCATCAGAATTGCAAGCCAAGGTGTATTTACCAAGTGCTTAAGTTTCCAAAGTAGTCACCTAATTGTTACAATCAAGTTCACTCCCTTTTGATGCCATATTCAGCTTGATCATCCTGTTACATGTGAAAACATCTAATATTTTTCTCTTATTCAAATAATTGCTTGAATCATAAGTTATATTTTTTGTAATTACCTGCTTTCTTTAACCCTTAAATCCCCAAGACTAACTAGCATCTAATTTCCCCTTCAATATCACCCCTGAATCGATCATTAAGGTTACAAGAATAAAGAAAATAATAAACTGAAGAACCTTTTGATTGTTAAACAAATTCTCCTCGCCAGCACATTAGAGAACAGTATGGAGAATATGCATACTGATGTTAGGATGTAAAGGGTTAATAGTGCTCCAGAAATGGTAAATAGTGTTGGAGAGAAAGGAAGAAAGTTCTTGAAACATTCTGTGTTAAATAAAACTTTGTTGTGAATGTTACTTGTGAGGGCAATGAAAACATCTGTGAAGCTACTATAACAATTACCTTTCCATGTAAACAAACCATAATAAAGCAATTAATGATATGAATAAATTTAATTTCACCCAGTTTGAATATAGAATCTGAAATCTAATTAACTTTAGTTATTAGTGAATAGGAAAAAGCTTAATGTATTTTTCCTGCTTCTGTCATTCTTAATATCTCAAATCAATCATGCCACCACTTCAGTGTGATTTTTTTGAAGATATGTACTTTTTCTTATGGTCATCTATTTTAGTATCTATCGTTTGCCAGCTGACATCTGAGAAGAATTAAGTCCACACTGGTGATTTGACACTTTGTAAGCAAACCCTACAACTGATTAAATTTTATTTGATAAAAAACATGAAGGGCAATAGAGGAAATTGGCCAGCACAATTGAAGTTTCCCTTCTTAAGTATTCTGTGATCGTTTCTTCAATCATATGGTGAAGTTTACAGTTTCCCTCATTTCACTTTCTTCTGTTCATCTGTTTGCTTTCCTAATAATCATTAAATGCATAGAGCATATAGAATGTGCACAGTTATTAACACTTTCATCCCTGAGAGTGACCAGCATCTAATTTCTCCTTTCAATATCATCCCTAAATTAAGCATTAAGGTCATGAGAATAAAGGAAATGATAATCAACTGAAGGACCTCTTGATTGTTAAACAAATTCTCATTGCCAGCACATTAGGAAATTTATTGAGAACAGTATGGAGAATATGCATACTGATGTTAGGATCTTCTAACACTTCAATTAAAACATAAAATTAAATTATTTACAAGCAGGTTAAGGAGGAAATTAAAGGATGGACATGTGTTACATAAAAAGTAACCCCTTACAATAAAAATAAAGCAGAAGCATATTACCTACGTGTCTTTGCTTCTGAATACAGCGATAATAGGTATTTCTAAGCAGTTATCTACATATCTAAACCAAGTGCAATATACGGTCGTAAAAGCAATTTTATTCCAACCTTCCTACTTGAAGGGTGCCTTGTGTATCAAATATATCAAGTTCATTACCTCTAGAGTCATAAGCCAGGCTTTTGGGGCTACAAAATAATAAAATAATCAACGCGTTGTGGCAGGCTAATTTATCGAGAGTCAATTAAGTATAGTTTCCTAAGATCATATGGAAAGTTTAAAATCTACTTCACTTGCGCGACATATACGGATCTATCTTTCTTAATTACTGATGAAATCCCGAGAGTGTGACTCAATTCATTCAAAAGAAAATATCCAAGCAGGTTACAGAAATGGTTCACAAATTGTAAACTGATGTGTTAAGAAAACCTCCTTAAATTATGGTGCCGACACGGATTTCTCGTCCATAATCACTTATGAAATTCCGAGATTGTTCCTCAATGAATTCAATAGAAGATATCCAAGAAGGTTACAGAAACAGACTCTCAAAAACGGCTCTCGAATTCGAAAACTGTAAACAACAATTATTTACGCTAACCATGTACTTACCAGCGTGCATATGAGCTCAAATTGCCAGGACACCGTTTAATTACACAATTAGAGCTCGGACGCTTCTTGCAAAATGTGATGACTATCGATTTCAGAGATAGATTCTTCAGTTTCCAGCATAAGGAAAAAATAATCGTATCGCAGGCATGTTCATCATAACCCGAACATTAAGTACGCCTCGAGATGTTAACGGAAGAGAAAGTGGCTCCATGTTTTGTGAGACAATTGAAACCATTTCCTGAAGTTCGAACGAATCAAGTAAAAAAAAGTAAAAAGCATGAAAACATAGCCCTGAAAAGTACCATGACTAAACAATAAAATTCACTCATTCCGCAGTAGAACTAGCTCCATTTTACCCGTGAGTTTGTTTGCACCACATATCTGCGGTCCGTAATTTAATTCTAAGATGTTTGACGGGTTCTTGACAATATTGACAAAATCAAATTACTGCCTCAAACTTAATGTGAACATGGACATCGCTGACTCAATCTCATTTTATTTCAATTTTGGGAAAGGCCATTACTTCGTTCTTGAGGTAAAACAACAATTGTTCGACAAAGCGCGATTTTTTTAAGGAATAGAGTAAATCCTGCGATAGTAGACAGAGGAGAGAAAGAGGTAGAAACTTGCGCTCGCCGTTCGCTATCATCTGAAAACTTCTAGGAAAAACAAAATCCGTAAGATAACTTCTTTTCCATTAACACCACGACTGTATAAAACACTCCAAACCACAGGACCAAAAATACCTTGAAGAATATGAACACTTGAAGTGTTATTCGAGCGATGAACCGGCACGAAGGTTTTTAGGCGATGAAGGCCAAAGTCATTGTTTTAACGAAACGTGATTTTAATTATAAACTGAAGCTAGTATCAAACGACAATTGGTAAAAAAAGGTTTGAATTTTCCGAACCCCAGTGTTGAAGAAAACCCAGATAAGACACGACTTACCTCCTCTTCCTTCTCGGATCCTTTGTAGTTCGCTTCTCTTTGTTGATGACCTCTTCTCGGTCTGTTTTCAGGAGAGCCTTTGTATTCCTTCTCGCATCGCTCCACGCAAGATAATCGCCTTTTTACTAATGTCTTTTCTTGTTCTCTTTTGCGTTCCTCTCGCCGTATTCTCCCTATTTTGGTGTCCTCTCTAACTTTCTTCCGCGTTCTTCTCGACTCGCTTTACGTCTTTTACGTCTTGTTTTTTTTGGTCGCGTAGGCTCTTTCTTATCATCCTATTTTCACTTAAAACTCTCTCTCCACGAACTTGAATTATAGCAATTTCCTCCCGTTGACAAAGCTTTAGCTCTGCTGGTATTGTTGCTTTGCGAGTTGATTAGATATTGCGAAATACTGAGAGTTACTGTTCAACTACAACCTCACCAATTTGATTTCCCGCTCAAAACGCGGGTTGCAAATTATTTGCTTACGCGGCTTCACATCTACTAGCCCACGTAAAGCCCTCGTGCAATGCCTACCGTGCGCCCACGGTACGCTACACTGAAACTCAACACTCGAGTATGCGCACTTCATTGTCATCTGTCGGTGTCTCCTGGCGCACACTAATGGGCTTTCCGAGTTACGCACGCTATTGCGCCTGCGCATTACCTTCTCCATCGCCCTTCCATTACGTAATGGCAAAGATAGTGCCCGTAGTACTGTTAGCCGCGCATGCTAAAAGTAGCACCTTGTACGGTCGGTCGTACGGTCGTACGTCCAAATTTTTTCGGCTTGATGGGTTACTACTACTTCGGGCTACGCTGCGCGCGCCTCAAGCGCTGCGAGTTCCTGCTATTATCTAATAGCAGAGCCTAAAGCAGGACCCCCGTTTCTCCACCCGTAGGAAGATTGGAGACGATCCGGGTAGAAGTTTGCTGAGTTTCCCTGTACCAGGCCCTTTGAAAACCTCTTGCCAGCTCCGGTTGAACATTATTAAGCATGCCAAGCCCTTTTACCGTTTACTCAATATTTTCAGTCACTATTTGTATTTTCACTACCCCAGCGGGATCGTTAAAATTCGGCAAAAATTTTAAAAATACCCGACGATACTACACATCCGAAACATCCAGCGACTTATATACCTTCATACCCCAGCGGGATCGTTAAAATTCGGCAAAAATTTTAAAAATACCCGACGATACTACACATCCGAAACATCCAGCGACTTATTTACCTTCATTAATACTGTTTCTTGTGGTCGTCAACAGTGCTCCGGTGAATGTCGCGGGAGACGTGGGCCGAGAGGCCAGCGAGGACGGACTGGGTCAAAAGGACAGCCAGGCCCTAAAGGACCAAGGGGACCCCTGGTCAGTACATACTTTGCGCGTTACCTTGCCTTGATATTGTAAAATGGTGTAAAGTGGAGTGATAAATGTTTTTATATAGAGAATCATATATGGGCGGGCGTAGATATGGAATTTCTCTTCGAATTCCATACCTACAAGCAACCATGTATTATTTTGTTTATCATATAAACACAATAGCCCTTCACTGGGAAGAAAAGCCGACTTCATTAATGAATGAAAATAAATGAGTCGACAATCCTCGAATAACAATCGTAGAGTGCGTTGGCGCTGACTCTGAAGATCGAAAAATGCGTTGAATCATGATTACAAAAACAACAATGGTCGTAATTTTCAATGAACAAAATTCTCATTTATTGACTTTGTCTTTACTGACAGAAGTCTTTCAGGTAAACGGCCAATATCGGCTAGTGGCAAATCTTCCAGTTGTCGATTTTCATTCTCAGTCGAGAGAAATGCTAACACCAAAGCCACTGAATACGCAACTTTCGGTTTTTCTTTCAGTGTATTGGTTTTCTTCTCTTTCTAGGAAAGTTTGAACCTCATTGTCTGTCAGCGATACGGATTTCTTAGTGTTTTAGCCGCCATAATTCGAGAAAGCTCCGACAAACGACTTGTATTGAGAATCGTTAAGGGTTTGCCGTTCATTCATTAACCTGACCGAGTGGCGTTAAGGCGAGTGATGTGTAAGCACCTGATTGGCTATATCAACACACGTGAAAAATACGATGTTTTTTCACGTGTGTTGTTACGGCTTTTCTCAGGGCCGGAAATCCTTGTATAACACCGTATTTTATGTGATAAATGTATTTTACTCATTTTAGGGAGAAAATGGGCGAGATGGACGGAATGGGCAACCAGGACCTATAGGAATTGTGAGTAAATGAAACTCATTTTCTTCCAGCCGTGAACGTTCCAAACAAAGAAAAAGGCTGTTGTCTGTCACCAGTTTAGCTAACTCAAAGAGTCTACTGAAGAATCTGACATCACAAAGGATATCAGGTCAAATTTCACAGTAGCCTTAAAGTCTTCACAATTGTGAAAAAAGTCTTCCCGCTTGAAATGAAAAAGGATTCAAACAGTGTATAACCTTTTACCAAGAGATTATGTTCTCTTGCCCTTCACAGATTACGAAAGGGCAAAAAATTCACGTTGGTATCACTTTAAATAATTACCATTGACATTTCCGAAAAGTTCCCTCACTTTAATCTTTCCTCCCATTCATCTACTTATCATTAATTCTTTCATATTTTCTCAAGCCTGGACCCCCAGGAATAAGTGGACCTATAGGAAACAAGGGAATCATGGGACAAAAAGGAGAACAAGTATGAACTTAATACCAACTTAATGTTTGTAGTAAATACTTTTGACACTATTATTGTGACTACATGTTGTCATTTCCATCCGTAGGAATATCCATTTTATGAGTACGTTAGGTCTCAATTGAAGACACGGCAGACTTTGGTAAAAACTTATGGAGCTCATTGAAAACTTGTTGGACAATAGTTCAATTTGACGGACGTTAATGGGGCAAGGACATTTACTTTCAGCGTTAACTTTTTTGAACTTTCAGTATTTCTGCAGAGTTCATTGAAACGATACTAAAACTAAAATCAATACATTTATCAATGTCCTCCAAGGTCAACTCATTAAGATCTTAAGATATGAATATGACTACCAGACAGTTTGTTACCCTTGTCACTTTAAAATGTCCATTATAACAATAATCACGCCTTTTTGTAGGATATAGCAGCTCAAGAAATAGCCTATTTTTAAACGTTTTTGATGTACCTAACACTTCATCTTCATTTATCCGCAATGATAATTAGGACTTTTAAATGTCTGCTATTTTCGAAACTTCCCGAGACATTGTAACGCTTTTATCTATTTTAGGGACTTCGTGGCCCATCCGGTATTCCAGGCCTTCCCGGTCTACCAGGGAGTTGTGTGAGATCAGCGCCATCCAACACCACTACCCCCACAGTATTTTGTGGACTAGGTAAACAAGGTCTTAAAGGAAATAAAGGGGATAACGGAAACCGTGGATTATCGGGCCCCCCTGGGTCGCAAGGAAACAGAGGCCCACGAGGAAATTTGGGTAATGGAGGCCCCCCTGGGAAAAAGGGTGACATTGGGCCCCCAGGCAACTTTCCTGATCTGGAATGTTTCCCTCGGTACACCAGTTGGGTAAATAGAAGTGAGTGGTTCGATAAATATCCCAAGGTGCATTGTGATAGGAGAGAATTCTTACAAGGCTTCAGTCTGGAAAAAAGCGATGCTCGCGGGCAGAGAAGATACAAATACACTTGTTGTACACTTGGACTGACCAATGGTCCTTGAAAAGCTCAGCAAATGAACTGAGCGAAGACCAAAATAAAAACAGCCAACAGGCAATGACTCGACTCACAACAAACAAAGGACGGAAATTTTGATTGATGACAAAGTTGAAGATAGTATCTCTGAAGAAAGATGAGATAAGACAAAAGGTTTTTTTATGCATTGAAATGAAGATACATAGTTAACACCTGTGGGAGAACATTTCTTGACCGTCCGTGCCCACGTAAAAAACTCACCAGCAGTAGTCAAGTGTAATCAGAAGCCAGAAATTATTGCTCCTGACGTAGGCCATTACATTTGATGTAATCTTCCGCAGAAGTTGTAGATATAAAGTCATAAAGAAACCAAATTGAAGTGCAGTCGGCTTTCTATCAGCATTGCGCTAAACGATAGACGGAAAGATATTTGCTTCCAAATCACGTTATCTTAGTCTTTAAAAATAAGAACATGTATCATCATGCCATATTCACCATCATGACGATTAACTGCACATAGTGCGCAGTGAATTAGGATTTCAGATATTTTTTATAAGGGTGTGGGCTATCAGCTGGGCACTAATGCGAGCATTGATTTGCCTCCAATAAGAAATTGAGATAGAAGACAGTTACAGATCATGAGAGTTACTTAACCACACTCCAATATAAATGTGATAGTTACGATGTTAGAGCCTCGGACTATTAAAAAAACGCTGCTCTTACTACCGTCATCGTAAGAATAACAGAAGAAAGCTATTAAAGCTTGAGCTGCACACGTACTTAAGTGTTTGGACAGCAGTCAGCCCGAGTTACCAAATTCTGGACCATTCATTCTAGTCAACGTTTCTGTCGCACGACAGAAGCCTTTTAGCGTCAGGTGACAAAATATCTCAGCAGGGTCACACGAGGCTGCTAAAATATTTGCATCGAGAAGGATTTATATAATGTAAAGAAATATTGAATGTCTTTTTCCTCTGTGGCGACTATGTTGTAATTCTTTTACAATAACTCAGTTAATGATGAAGGGTTTTCCTCATCCTTCAATCCTTGATCTTTACACATTTTCCGCAGCACCTGATGTTTCCTGAACCCATTGTTATCGTAAGTTGGTTTGAGAAATAATAATTGCAACTACATCTGTTCTTTCGAGCGAGATCCTTTTCGAATCAAGCTTATTCAGTCCACAGTCAGTGATTTGAACTTGGGATATAAATTCTACCGTGAAGTTTGATCTTCTCAGGGATGGTTCTCTTGAGAAAGTATTTTTTCTCGCAGGCATGGACTAACTTTTGAAAAACCTGTGCAGAAGTCATTATCAGAGTCAGATGAAGATGATGATCTGTGATCAGGTTTTGAAAAGATCAGCTTGTGACGCCCTGAACGTTAAGTTCTGATTTTTTATTGAACATCAAGAAAAAATAAGGATAAAGGGGAGAGGGAGGGAAGCTTCTGGTTTAACCCTTGAGATTTGTCAATTTCACCAAAGTTATTTATAGACATTCCCTCAAAATGGAAGTTAGTTTTCCGAGAATTCCTCAATACGCTCACCTCAATAAAAAGTTCACATAACAATAAACGGTGAAATGGCGGCGAGGGTAGAGATGCCTTTTGCGGTGAATGCCGTTTGGCAAAAGAAGGAAAGTGATAATTTTAAAAATAAATGAAGTGAAATCGATGTATCTCGGCCAACATTTTGATTCACCCTCTCTGTCCCACTGTTTTTTCTTGGCGACACTACGCTCTCAGAAGATGGATTTCTCAATTGGCCCCCAATTGTAACAAGTACGTGTATGTACGTCATAAATCGCCTGTTGTTGCTCTTGACGAGTGCTATAAATAGTGGCGTTAAATAGTTGACGCTTAAAGCTACTGCCACCTTCAACAGTTCTGTTCAGGTCTTCGCCCACCGAAACAATCAGACTACACTACTAGCAAAAAGACAGTGCAGTGGGAATATGCTTATCATAATTATTTTGTTGTATTATGGGGAAATAGCCCTAGCCCGTGAAACAGAGCAGGACAGGACGAAAATATCAAGAAAATGTTATGCCAGCGGTGTTGGGTCACGCGAATAACTTTTAAGATAATTATTTCCAAGAAATCACAAACATTTTATTTGTTATGACGCATGATGATCATATTAAAAGTTCTCTGAACCCTTCTATCGAGCGCACGCTCTAAGTCTTACCCTAACAATTTGCCAGGTGTATTGTAAGGAAGACTTGGTGTTCACGACGTTAACCTTCCTTCGCTTACATGTTAACAATTTACGACGTCTTCAATGACTCAAACGAAAAATGAAGAAAATAAGAAGCTGTTCCAAAATCGTAACGAGTGTGATACAAGGGGAAGAGGAACTAAAATTGAAAAGATTTGAGTTCCCTACGAGAAATCGAATCTCATTCCTTTCAATTTCGCAGAGGTTATTATTAACAATGATCAACTACAACAGCATCCAACCCCAAAATCACACAACTTGAACTTCGAATCCTTCATTGTTCAGGGTTATCCTTAAACAAGATGTTGCCGTGCTGAGTTCCATCATCGGGCCCCGTTGTTCAAAGGTAGGATAACGCTATCCACTGGATAAATCGCCATCCGGTGGATAGCGCAGTACGTTTTCTTAACAGTTATCCGCTGGATAGTGATTTATCCTTTGGATAGCGTTATCCACTCTTTGAACAACTGGGCCTAGATCTATAACAAAGGACTTTCTGTTACTCAGTTTTTATTTTCACTTGATAACAATAAGTCAAAGAAATTACAATAACTTTCCGAGTCAATCACTGTACCTAACTTGCTACAAAAACTGTCCCTATAGAAAGGGCTTGATGAAAGGAAAATTCCAACTCAGGGAAATTTATAAGACGCAAGGATCTTGACATGATATCAAAGCTCTATTCTAAAAACTAAAATCCAAACAGCAAAAACTAAAAACTCTAATAAAGATTATGAATATGAAAGTGACCTTCGCAGTAATGAAGTTAATATGAAGTATACATACTTATATATTTTATTGTCATATATTCACAGTGCTGTGATTAACCAAGAACGGAAATTGCAACCTAAAAATGAATAAAATTTTACAAAGAAAATGAAACATTCGTAAGATTCAAATTGAAAAACATCAGCAACACGACCTACTAACGACATAAACTGCTTTGCTCGACAAATAAAGTACATGGTCCTTTGAAATAAATTGTTTGTGAATAAATCTTTTCAGTTAAACTTCCATCTCATCATTCCAGAAACAAAAGAAAAATTCGCCAAATTTTTTTAACTGAGGAAGAGCCCATTACTTCTTGAGTCTCTTGATATACTTTAACTATTTCAATCGTAATCAGTAAACGGGAATTAATTTTTTAAAATTTAATTGCAACGGTCACAAGTACACACTGTTGTGTCTTTCATACTATATCCTAAGAAATTTGACAAAAGTTTTTGATACAAAAGCCTAAAACTGAAGTTTCGCCTTAGAGATCTAACTCAACAACTCTTCCTTTTTTACTGACAGACAATACTGTTACATGCCGAGACAATCAGGACGTTCAAAAACTGAGACATTTTGCCTTTAAAAGCCAGCTATATCGCTGAAAATACTGAGGAAGTTCCTGTCGATGATGTGGACTTGATTCAAAATACATCATCAATTAACATTTGCTTACGTACATTTGAAAATATCCATAGCTCCCATCTCCAATTTCATTCCAGCGTGACGTCATCCCCAATGAGTACAAAGGGTGCCCAGTACTTCACATCGCTGAACTCTTCAGAATCTTTCATGCTCTTCATAGCTTGGTTAAGAGCTTCACTTGCAAGCTTTCCAGTAACCAGTTCTTCATAGAAATGTTTCATAAACACAAGAGTAGCCTCGTCATCAATAGCCCACAGTGACACGAGAACAGAGCGAGCGCCGGCACCCAAAAACGCTCTTGCAATTCCAACAACTCCCTCAGCCTTTATCTCTCCACGACCGCTATGACAACAACTTAACACAACCAGCCTCGCTCGTATCCGAATATCCAACACATCTTTCATTGTTAGAATACAATCCTCTGCCTTAACAAAGGGCTGTGATGAGCAAGTACTTCGTGGCGCTAAGGCAATTTCGCCTGTTTCCATTCGGCCATGTGCAGCAAAGTGTACCAAGGCAAAAGAGGGAAGTCGCCTCAACACTTCATCTTTTTTGGCTTCTTCACCAATAAGAGGATCGGCGCCAATGATTCTCCCGATTATCTCAACTTCTTCTCTCGCACATGGCAGTGGATCGAGCTTCCTCCCCTCGAAAAGAACCCCCTCCAAACATGGATCACCCACGAGTAAAGCACTTTTCTTATATTGGAAGTCGTCTGGGTAATCATTTATCAGCTTCAAAGTAGTCAGGGATGGAATCGTTCGAACTCGGAAAGAGTCACACAAATAATTTGACTCGTGATCCATCAATGCAGCAAAAGGGACTGACCACAATGAACTCTCGGGAACAAAGATAATTTCATTGCCATTGATGAGATCACCAATCGGCTCAACGATAACGTCATACAACATCCTCAAGGCAGCTTTCGGTGAGCATTCAGAAGAGAAATAAGCATGACCTGACCTTTTCTTCACTAATTCTTCAGTGCAGGGCTCATCAAGAGAGCGATCTTCGCATTTAATTACACCTCTTTTAAACGATCTTGATGCTGTGTTCATTAAGCTTCCAATTAAGGTATTGACATCTTTGAACGAGCCATAATTACTTATCTCAGTACTTCTCAATTGAATATCTTGAAAGCTGTTAATAAACCAGTAGAATATCTTGCGTTCCTTATCATCTACAGCCATGAAAACTGTATTTGAAACAGCACAGCTTGCAAGGAGCTCAAGATCAAAATTCCCTGGAGTGTGAGGCCGAGGCTGTATTCCTCCCGACCCATACCTAAAACAAATCAGATCATTAAGAGCCTGTGCATGTCCTTGTTCAGCAGATAGAAGCGCATCCAAAATTTGATTTTGTTTTAAATGAAGACGCCACAAACAAGTATATGCATTTCTTTGCATGTCGCGGTAGCTAATCTTCCAATCATCTCTGAACCGCAGATTGGCTCGGATAGCATCAAAAATTAGCACGCAACAACGAGACAAGCTGACAGCTCTTTCTAGATCTCCCAACCCCCAATAAGCATTGCCGAGATTGTAGTAACTCCTTCCCTCTTCAGCCTTGTCTCCCACTTCTTTGGCAATTTTTAGAGAACGTTCATGATACTGTATGGCTGTTTTGAAATCTTCTAGCCTATGATAAGCATTGCCGAGATTGCAGTAACTCCTTCCCTCTCCAGCCTTGTCTCCCACTTCTTGGGCAATTTTTAGATGATGTTTATGATACTGGATGGCTCTTTTGAAATCTCCTAGGCTATGATAAGCATTGCCGAGATTGCAGTAACCCTTTCCCTCTCCAGCCTTGTCTCCCACTTCTTTGGCAATTTCTAGATGACGTTCATGATGCTGAATGGCTTTTTCGAAATCTTCTAGCCTATGATAAGCATTGCCGAGATTGCAGTAACTACTTCCCTCTCCAGCCTTGTCTCCCACTTCTTGGGCAATTTTTAGATGATGTTTATGATACTGGGTGGCTCTTTTGAAATCTCCAAGGCTATGATAAGCATTGCCGAGATTGCAGTAACCCTTTCCCTCTCCAGCCTTGTCTCCCACTTCTTTGACAATTTCTAGATGACGTTCATGATACTGGATGGCTCTTTCGAAGTCTCCTAGGCAATCATAAGCATTGCCAAGATTCCCGTAACTACTTCCCTCTCCAGCCTTGTCTCCCACTTCTTTGGCAATTTTTAGGTCACGTTCATGATACTGGATGGCCTTTTCGAAATCTCCCAGGCTACGATAAGCATTGCCGAGATTGCAGTAACCCTTTCCCTCTCCAGCCTTGTCTCCCACTTCTTTGGCAATTTTTAGAGAACGTTCATGATACTGGATGGCTGTTTCGAGGTCTCCTAGCCTATCATAGGCATTGCCGAGATTCCCGTAACTCCTTCCCTCACCAGCCTTGTCTCCCACTTCTTTGGCAATTGTTAGATGACATTTATGATACTGGATGGCTCTTTTGAAATCTCCTTGGCTATGATAAGCACTGCCGAGATTCCCGTAACTGCTTCCCTCTCCAGCCTTGTCTCCCACTTCTTTGGAAATTGTTAAATGACGTTCATGATGCAGGATAGCCTTTTCGAAATTTCCTTGGGTACGATAAGCAATGCCAAGATTGCTGTAGCTCTTACCCTCTCCAGCCTTGTCTCCCACTTCTTTGGCAATTTTTAGATGACGTTCATGATACTGGATGGCTCTTTCGAAATCTCCTAGGCTATGATAAGCATTGCCGAGATTGCAGTAACTCTTTCCCTCTTCGGCCTTGGCTCCCAATTCTTTGGCAATTTTTAGATGACGTTCATAATACTGGATGGCTCTTTTGAAATCACCTATGCTGTAATAAGCATTGCCGAGACTGCAGGAACTCCCCCCCTCTCCAGCTTTGTCCCCCACTTCAATAGAAAAATGCAAAATTTTCGCATAGTGGAGGATCTTTTGGACAGCTGCTTGAGGTAGCTGATCGTTGATTTGTATATCCTAAGGTTTAAAGTTAGAAATATTGAAATTGTTTGACTACCTTTTATCCCCTTGGCTTACTTATCCTTAATTACGTTTCTCGATGGCCTATTATATGGGCCAGACTTGCGTGTGGTGCTACTCAATTTATGTAACCAAGCCAGCTGGGTGTGGACAGAGGACATTTTTCCTTACGCCTCTTCTCTAAAGAAATGAAAATTGTTTTGACCAAGGGGTTGTTATTCGAGGCTTACAAATGATAATATCTTTGAAGTTAGGCAAAAACTTACCTTCAGAGTCTAAGAAAATTGCTTAAATAAATTCATAATGATAAATAGATAATATACAATATCAGAGTGAAAAAAATATGTGAACAGCGCTCAGCGAAACACAACTGCACGACCGTCTTAGATTTTAAACATACTCTAGGTATCACAAACATAACAACTGCCTTCTTATATATATATATCTACAGAAAAATTGAGCTGGTCTGTCCTACATGGAATCACGCTAATCGAGGCTCCCTCTCCGCGTTAACTCTTGGTTTTCGATTAATTTTAAAGTCGTAAACGTTCTCTTACCTCGATTTTCGCTTTGTTGTTGTCACGGTTAGTGTTAATTTCCTGATTAATTCTCGTTTCATCTATGCCAGTTAGTTGTTTATAACACTCGGTCCACAAATCAAGTAACTTCTTATTGTTATTGTTAATCTTCAAAGCGTCAAGTCAAAGAATTTGCCTTCTAAAGAGTTTTAGGTCAGTTCTGTTTACACTATAATTTCAAACTCGGTCCACGCCAGCATTCAATCCGGTGCGATGAAAATTGGCCACAAGAGCTAAAAGTAATACAAATACATCTATAACTACCTCTACTGCTTCTTTTATCAGTAGTGGTGAGGAGGAAAGAAGCAGAAATAGCAGCAGCAGCAGCCATCGTCATCATCACTTCCAGCACCACTGCTAGCGCAAGAAGCACTGCAAGCATACGTGAACGCCATTAGTACTTCAACCGCCGGTGCACTGCAAGTGTGTGGAGTCAGCTGCATATTTACACGTATTCAATGTAAGCCCAATTAGACAAATCCTTAAAAAAAACTCTCCCTGTACATCAACATCCTTTATTTTACTTAGGCAACATATTAAAGCGACGAACTAGAGTTTATAACTCGGATGTATTTTTGCCCAAAGTGGAATAGGAGGTTAGACAAAAATTGTGCACTTAATTCTCATGGCCTAGATCAGTTGTGTTAACGAATATATAAGCTTACATGTAAATGTGCACCTGACTCCGCATACTTGCGGTGACTGGAGCTGGCAATGACACTGCCAATGGCGCAAGCAGACGGTTTTAACTCCAGTGATAGGACATGAGAGGAAAGGAATTACAGAACTTTGTTTTTAGACATGAGGTTTGATAGGAATTTGGAGTTGTTTGGCACCTATTAAGTGTTATGGTAAAAGGTGATATAATTACGGGCATCATTCAGGTAAACGTTTGAACTCAGTAATGTTTAAGATGATTTCTGATGTTGTTGGCCATTTACATGACAAGTCGCCCGGTTTCTTGAATTCGTATATTTATCAGGGTCAACAAGATATGGGAACTGCCTACTTTTCGCTTTTTGACATGAGTAATTAAATGAGAGAAATCTCCATAGCACTATTGGCTTTTTCTACATTCGTCAAAGGATACTGCCAATCCTTTCTGACACCAAGTTATAGCTTCTTGATACATGTGTTGCTGTACACATGCACTGGCCCCTAAAAGAAATTGAAAAAAATTGTATCAAGGAAGATCATTTTTCCCACTGCAGATACTAAAACACCTCAATTTGTACTTCTATTTTAATCTCACAAATATTAACTTTAGTGATGTCTCGCAATGTGCGCAATCAGAGTAAATTTACTAGAATCGAGTGAGAATTGTACATGGGCGCGCGTAGATATGGAATTTCTCTTCGAGTGGTCAACGCGATAGCTCACGAGTGAGAACAAGGGAAGAGTGAGATATCGGGTTGAACAGTCGAAGAGAAGTTCCATTTCTACAAGTAACCATGTATTGTTTTGTTTGTTATATAGACATAATAGTCTTCATTGACAAGAAAAGTCGACTTTATCAACGAATAAAAAAAGGATCCTCGATCCTGGAAGAAAAGTCGTAAAGTGCGTGGGCGATAAGGCTTATCGTAATTTTACACGTGTGCTGTTAAAACATTTCTTAGGCCTGGAAATCCTTGTAAAACATCGCAGTTTATGTAATAAATGTGACGATATAGTAGCTTTTTTATGAAACTATCAGAACTTACAACTTAATCTAGAACACTCTGAGAGTAGGAGGATTACTTTTGAATTTTCATTGTGCTTTTGGTAGAGGGTCAGTCAAAAGCAAAGTCGAAATTAAGCTAATACAACTAGACTGTGGAACGATTAAGGAGATCAGACAATGTGGAACCCCAGCACAAGCTTTACTCCTGAACGATCAACTGGTCAGAAGTCCAACCTTTTGGTCATCCTCGGAGACAGTTCTTGCATGTCTCAGGAAATGTCTAGAACTTACCGATTTCTATTGCTTCGATGAAAGTTGGTGCCAATTGAGCAGACAATGTAGCATCATCCAAAGCTTCTTGAAAATTTCCTAACAAAACAATTTCATATGAGTACGGAAGTACAAATTCTCAACTTTCAGAATTGGAGTCTACTTTAAACGTAGCAGCTAATAATGTTTTCTTACTGCTGGGCAAGTAGCCAAATTAGCGAAAAGGTCTTTCAGTCTTTCAGTCTGTCTATTTTCGACCTGATTTTCATATATCTGATTGGCTAGTTTTAGGTTCACAATTTTTAGTGTCAGATTTTATCCCATTTTTTAAATAGCCAGCTGACGAATAGAAAATCGGCCAGAACGAGTGATGTTGGTGACGGGGCCGTGCATTGAGCCTGTCCCAGTCATGCCAGCGCTACCTTCCCATATTACCTTGAGGTTGCTGCAAACGCGGCAAAAGTTTTCCTTCACGCACACCATTCGAACTGTAGATGATTAATTATAATCATTCCCTATCAAAATGGATACAAAACTGGAACAATTGATTAATTCTTACCCAGAAGGAGCTGAGCTGCTGCTCTGTTGCTATAGAGTTTGGCGTTTAGTTTGACATCTTTGCAGTTCACTTGCAGTCCCTCCGAATAAAAGTGTACTGCATTGTTGGTTTCTCCTTTGCTGTACTCGTTGTCACCTTCTTTCAAGTACACCTCCGTCATCGCTAACAAAAAAGCAGAAAACATCCATGATATAGAACATAACTCAATAGGGATACACAAAATAGCAGCCAGACATATGCAGATGGATTAAATATCCGGGAGAGCAGCAGTTTAACTGGCTGTCAAATATTGAAGTAATTTTGTTGACATGCAAAATTTGTCTGCATTTTTCCTGTTACATGATCACTAAGCGGTACAGGTCCCTTTGTGCGCCTCTCTTAAAAGGATTGCGTAACCCTCATTGATTTGATAACCATACCTTATTGAATAGGTTGTGTTTATTTTAACTGTTATTCTTACCTTTTAAGGTTGCATCATCAAATTGCGATGTACCATCTGACGGTAAAACGGCCGGAACGTCTATAACGAGAGAAAAATAATCAGACAAGCATATAGGGGACAAGGATCTTTCTGATCTCTCTGTTGGCCTCCAAGCATTGTGGCGTGATAGTTCAGCCACTGAACAGTTTCAAACCTAAATTTTACCATACCAGCTCAAGTAAAGTAAAAAATCAAATACGTTGGAACATTTAGCCAACATAGACAAACACTGATAAGATAATTCAAAACAACGTAAATCGAGGTATTTGGAGAAATAGTCAAACTCCACCTCCAGTGTTTGATGTAACTTTTCCATCGAAGCTAAAATTAAGATGTAGAAGCGGCGAAAGAAGATTTTGAAGAAGTACGCCGTCTAAAGAAGATTCCCAACCGCACGCCACGGCACCGACATGTCGTGTTATTAAACGCTGATTGACGAGTTCAACGGACAGATGTATATTGGTCTTATCGACAAAATCAGCAAAAACGTCAGGTGCTGGACTCTAATCGAGGCGGGAGTGAGAGGAACAACGATAGAGAAATGAAGGCGGACAATAGAAATGTAGATGAAGAGGAATTGTTTTACCTGGAGAGAGGTACTGGGGACAAAGCGAAGAAAAGATCGCTCTGGTGGTCCTTTTTCATAACGTTAGGCATTCGAAGGCACGAAAAGGACAACAGTTTGTCTAAGTTGTTTTTGTTTTGTTTTTATGTTCCTTACGAGATTACATTCAATATTCCATACAGTCTGAGAAATACGCTATCCTAAAGGTTGTGTTAGGTCAAGCAGTCGATAACTTCATACTCCCAAATTTTTCTCTCAGTATAAGAATTTTGGCGTAGAACTGGATTTCTTTTTAACTCAAGAATTCGCATCTGAAACATGGACATGAGTCACACCATAAATTCATACTGTTACTATGTCCTGTAAGACCACTTTACTCACCTGCCCGAATATCATCAACTAAATTCACTTTTAAGTCACCAGATCTGACCTGACGTTCCTCTGCAGCTGGAAAAACACAACATCACGTTTATGGTGAAACCATATCCTTAAAAAACAAGACCTTTCACGAATATTTCCCGAGTGATTTTACTTTTCTTAATCATCATGTTTGAGAAAAGCTGTAAAACGATGTGTTTTGTCAATTAAGCCCCAAACTGGAAATATTGACCGTGTGACTTTTTCCAAAACAGAAAGTTAATTGTAATTAAGCTGTTTTCTTTCTTACCCTCTGTAGATTTCCCATCATCAACGCTGACCTTACCACCTTCCGCCATCACTGCAAAAGAACCAAATACTCTAAAACTTCATGATATCAATTTGGGCTCAATCTCACCGGCTTTGGTTGTATTAAGTTGAAATCGAAAAGGAAAGGCTTTCAACATTTATACCTGCCTAAATTTGCAGAGCATACCTCAGTCCACAACCAAGCCTTAGCCATATAATTCCTGACTAATTTAAGTATTAGCCCTTTTAGCCCAAAATTCAACATAATCAGTACTTCGTTCACTCGTCATTAGTTGATGTTTCGAAATAATTTTCTGATAATGATATAAATGGGCGAAAACAATCAAGACAGCTGAATATTCCACAATTGTTTCTTGAAGAAAGTTCAAGGCTTTGATGGAAAATGAAATTCACAGAGCGTAAGAAATCGAGGGGTTCATTCGGAGAATTAGGGCTACTATCGCAGGGTTGGTAACATTGATTTTGAGCCACAACCAACCTGTGTTATTCAGAGTAAACAGGTTGGTAAACATAATTGATTTTGAGCTTAACAGCAAAACCACCAACCTGCATTGTTATTCGCGCTGTAAGTAAAAACAGAACGAACTCTCCTCACTGTAATACAGCTACAAGCGCATTAGATATTCCTCGGGGCTTGAAGGCTTCCCTAACTAAGATCCAAATGCAGACCTGGCGACGTCATGTGTTCATCAAAAAGATCTTTCTGGCAAGGCTAAATGTAAGTCAACAGCCAATTCACTCAATTTTACATCATCGCCCGAAGCCCGAATATAATTAGAGTGCAAAAGAATATGTACTGCAAAAAACTGCCGACGAAACCTTGAGCCAACTCAACACATGTTACTAGAATCACTTAGAGATAAATGCGTGGACAGCTCTATTTGTCAGAACGGTTAAGATCATCTGAGTTCGAAGGTAATAAACACCTCTGCTACAATCAGATCGTCGCCCTTTATTAAACCATGTGTTCATCAAATGTGTTCCTATAACAGCTTAACAGAAGGGAATATGTGTCCACTTCCCTTAAAAAGATCCAGTTTCAAGCACTACTATGGTGGGTCTTCTTAAACACTCCGGAAGTTCTTCACACATCTCAAGCGCAACAGGGAAATTTCCCCGAAAGTGGTAATGAGGGGGTTCCCCTCCATTAGAAACTGAAACCGGAATTCATGACGTCACGCATTCCTTCCCAAAAATCGAATTAGGTTTATCATCCAGATATTTCCAACTGGCCTGGAGTTTTTTCTGCGATATTGGCAAGAAAAACTTCGCTGACAGGCAATGATCGATTATGTGTCAATACTAGCAGTTTTTCATTAATTCTACCCAAATCAAGAATCTATCGGTCAGTTTTGGTGAACAACAAACATACCATTAGCATTTAGAATTGTTTATTCTTCTGTTAGATCCACGGTAATCCGTGAAATATCCGCGGACGATTTTTCCAACGATTTACGTTGGCGAAGGTGCAATGAACACATGGTTTGATGTGTTAGGACTGATGACAAGAGTTGTAACTAAATTTGTTATTCATCTGCAGTTTTCCCTGCTCTAAAGTCGATTGCGATTAATGTGACCCTCCTGACCGGGATACAGTTATGAATACGATCAATATCCAAGACTCTTCGCCGAATAATTGATATTCTGTGTAAACGTACACTGCTAAACAAAATTAAAGGCCGCCCCAACATTGAAAGCCGACAGAATTACGCTGTTTTTGGTGGTCTTCACTGAAAGAGGGATTTTGCTTAACGAGGTAATATTGCATCTGTAACCGCAATTACATTTATGTCGCTGAGATCTCGGGAGGGCGAGTTTAATCACATACACTTGTCTTACTACAGCCAAAATCTTATCCCGGAGTTCCTGAGTTCTTTTTTAGTTACTACACGCAGGATTCTGGAAATATCTAACTGCAACCATGGACTTGCCCAAAGGCACCTTCGTTTGTGTCGCCGAGCTATCGGGACAGCGAAATGATTTAATCACATCTACAACGACCAAAATCTTACCTCTGTGTTTCCGACTTTCTTTTCAAGTTTTCTTAACAGCCTCAACAAAGAGTCAAAGAGAAAAGCTGATATAATAAACCCACAGCAACAGTTCAGTTTGCAAGACTATGCAAATATCCAACTAGAACTCGCGCAGACGGATAATTGTTGCGAATATGTTCCGCCTCACTGGATGTGTTAATAAGCTTACCCCCATTTTACGTCAAATAAAGTCATTGTGAAAGAGGTTTAAGTCTTTCTGCATGGGTGGTTTTATTTATGTTTGGTTCACGAGAAGTCTTTGACAAGGGTAGTTTCACGCACAGACACTTACAGGAAGGCGTTGGTTCATGATTGACAGTAACTGATTGATGCTGCCCTCGTCAGTCAAAGTTCATCTCCCCTATCGAAAAGACTGAAAAAAGCTGTTTGTAATTCCCAAACAAATGAGAAAAGTTGCTTAAAGCTAAATTTTACGATATAAAGTGGCAGACTGTAACGGTTTAACAGTTTAATAAAGGAAGTTGAATGCCGGAAAGTGTTGGGTTCCCCTAATTTTCAAAATCGAGAACAGGGGTGGAATTCACCAGTTCGTCGCTTCTAGGTCACCTACAAAAAATGCACCAGTTCGTCGCTTCTAGGTCACCTACAAAAAATGCACAAGTTGCTAATAATTTTAGGAGTCACCTAATGAAAGCAAAAGTAGAGAACAGACACATTGGAAATCATGGGTTACAATATCATTGGCTGTCTTTTCGTGTAAAGTTTAAATAGGTCACGAGTTCATAACTTCGCCTGAAACGAGAACTGGAGCGGAAATCTTGACGTCACTTTTATGTATTGTTATAATCTTTACTCGCTTTTGAGACCTGTCAATAATTTATCACTAAGGGGGGAGGGAAGGGGAAGGTCCGGAGGATTGTTTTGGTGGGGGGACGAAAGGGGATCAGTCGTCGGTAATAGAGTATAAAGGTAAGACTGTACAAAACTGATTGCCAATGTGGGGGGTCACCAGAATACTACAAGCCTTGGGGGGGGTCAGGTAGGTTTTACCGTGACACAACCAAACTCCTCCAGCCTCCTCCCCACCCCCAACCCCCCTCGTCACTCAGGGCAATAAATTAGGACCAGTCCCTTAATTGAAATTTTGACATGCGTGGTTTCTAGACATTAAAACTACACATGAATATAAAGACCTGTTTTGTGTCTCTTCTTTAATGCTAAGTGACTGTTGCATAGCATAACCAAAGCCGCCAGACAAACAGTGACCACAAAGTATCTCACAGGTTACCAAAGCTAGAATTACAGGTATATTATTTAGTACACAGCACATTTTTTTCGCAACGAAAACAGCATTCAACCCAGACGATCAAACTACAATATTGCATGTTACCCCCGGGTTCAAACCATTTACTGAAAACAGCATTATTAAAAAAAAAGTGGCACGACCTCTGTTCGGTGGAGTGTCCTTGCACGTGTTAGGAGTTTCTAATTCTTCCGCTTTTTTATTTGAGGACCTGTGAGCGAGAGAACTTCTAAATCGAGTAACAATAACAACTCAGGCTCACTTCAGATCTCGATTCACGATTTCCACGTGAAGTAAATATCGCAGAGAAAGTCATGTTTCAGGTAACAAATGATCACTGAACGTTGAAATTGAAAGAGCATTATGTTTCAGAGTAAATGTGAAATTTTTAAGGTTGATTCCTAGAATGCTCGATAGGAGATCATTAAAAACTTTTACGACAATAAATGTGTGTAAGAAATAAATTTTAAGCATGAATGCCAAAGAAATTGTATTCCAGGAACAGCCAAGTTACAGCTTCATTAGGGAAGCTTTTTTTTGTCACCTTTGTTAACTTTCTACTTGATCTGGTTATTCTTCTAAGTAACTCTCATACGCTGGTATATTAGGGACCAATCTTTCCTCAGGGGTAATCAATGGGTGAGACATTTAAAACGGATTGAAGCTGAAACTATTTAGACGAAAGAGGCTCGACAGAGGAACATTACTTGCTATGGATTAAAGGAGAGGTCCCAGGTCTCCTCAAGGCGTGACAAGCCCAACGATAGCTGCGAGACAAAATCAACGATTACCCTGTCACAGGAACAAACATGGCGCCTCTGAAGGACTCCAACTTTCGCCGTTATCAAATAATTCGATGGATGGTTTATATCTCACTATTTTTAGGTTACTCCTCCTATTATTTCTCCAGAAAGTCTTACACCTTCGCCATACCGGCCTTAATACAAGACCTTAACTTAAAAAAGAATGAACTCGGTGTAATAACGAGTGGTTTCGCAGCGATGTACGGTGTTGGAAAATTTACGGGCGGCTTATTATCAGATACTCTGAGTCCTAGAACGATGTTTACGGCAGGAATGTTATTAACTGGGATGATAAACATTCTTATTGGATTCACTGGGAACGTCTGGCTTTTGACGTTTCTCTGGAGCATGAATGGTCTGGCTCAAGGTTGTGGTTGGCCGCCGTGTACTAAATTACTCAGAGAGTGGTTCTCTCCTTATGAGGTGGGTAATCACAGAAACTTGTGAATCGAAATTTTGAATAGGTGATCGGCAAAATCTGTCTTTCCTTTTTGTATTTAAACACAGCAGCTTCAACAAAAAGTTATATCCTCATCACAGCAAACAGAACTGAACATGAAATATTTTTTTTATTTCAACTGAAACACTAGTTTATCACGTGCAACAAATGCCTAGCGACCGTAGTCGAGTTTTTCGCTAAATTATATTTTAAAATAGACTTAAATTATTTTGACCAAAATATTAAATGAGTTGGAAGGAGGAAATTCGCAGTATCGATATCGATAATAATTAAAAATCAGTGTCAATAAAATAAGTATCAAGTAGTGGCATACAGTTGTAGCTACATCCTTAAATGTTGTTACCAGTTCCGTTCCAAAACAAGCTCACCTAAAAACTTCTTCCTACAAATTTTAAACATTGTTTTTAGAGGTTGAGCTCTTAGCTGCCTTAAACTATAATCAAGATTTATAAATAAGAGAAAGGTGAAGTACATAATCTATTGCTACAGACCTTAACTCCCTGAATACATCATGGCCTGAATAAACATTTCGTCTTTTCAATCAAAAATTACAATAAGAGGGATTTCTATCATGTATAAAAGTCGAGAGTGAATAATCCTATAGTTTATGTTTATCTACTGATCAATCAAAATACTAACATAAAGGGTTGTATCAGTTATTTTGTGTATCACGGAATAGATACTGTAACAAGTAGTGTAACCAATGAAATTACAGCATTTGTGATAGAATACTGATTCCACTTACATCCTGTACCTATTTGGCTAATGCAGTTGAAACTCTATATTTATCTGTGAATGTCTATTAGCTAAGCTGTGTGCATGGCTCCTCTATTCTAGTTGGGTACCCTGTGGAGTCTTCTTACAGCTGGCTGTAACCTAGCAACAAGCATTTCTCCCATGTTAACAGCATTTCTGACTTCAAACTTTGGTTGGTCAGCAGCATTCATTACTCCTGGAGTCAGTACTGCCACAATGTCTGTTTTAGCTTACTACCTTATTTGTGATTCTCCATCAGAAATAGGACTGGAGGAATTTACCCAAAGAACTACTATGAAATCAAGAACTGAAAACAAAACAGTAGAGAACAGGAAGGACTACATTATTACAATGCTTCTCAGTCCATTTTTGTGGGTTTTAAGTGCAGGATATCTACTGACTTTGTTTGTGAAGACTGGAGTTGGTGAATGGACACAACTATTTTTGATACAGACAGTTGGAAGAACACAATATGATAGTGAGTTTAAACTGTTCTACATGTTGTTTTGGATTGAATCACCTATTTTTTAAATAACTCTTTAACCTCTAAGAATGACTAATTTCTCCTTACAGTATCACCCATGAATCAAATGAAAAGGTCATAAGAATAATGGAAATGATCTCCAATTTGGGAAGCTCTTGATTGTCAACCAAATTCTTGAGCTCCTTGTTATTACCAGGTGAAATGTAAAGAGAACAAGAGGCAATGAATTTCACTGTGTGTCACCTGAAAAGGAGAACACTGTCACATAACATTATTTGTTTTCACACTTTAATTTTTAATGTTCGTGTTTTCTTATCCCCAGGTAGTGTTGCTATGAGTTTTTTAGAGATAGGTGGACTCTTTGGTAGCATAACATCTGGTTATATAACGGACAAGTTGGTGCTTAAGGTTGGACATTAGCTCTCACTAATTGATCTTTGTCCCACAGCCTTATTGATGTACTGCAAAATAAGGGAACTGTTTTTTTCTGTTGGGCCTGGCCAAACACTTGAATTAAATTTTGGCACAGACTTTTGGTTATTCATGTAACTGAGAAAAACAAAAACAAAACAAAAACAGGTGATTTTGGTAAAAAACTTTTCAATAACTTACTTATAAGTCAGAGTTATTCTTCTTTATTGGAGTAGTTAAATTTCATCTGTCAAAAAATTCATGGAACCAAATTATGTTCAAGGGCTGTGTGCATCAATTGGTCTTCTGAAGTGTTCTGAAGGTGAAAATCTGAATTAAAAAAAAAAGAAAATAATGAATCATGTTTTGTATCATTATTTTCTAAGTTTAACTTTGATGTAGGCCTTCTGGCAATGCATGGAAAAACTGGAATCATATGGATCAGGGCTAATATGGTGTTCACTGCACCCACAGTTATTAACATTAGCACAATATGCTGAATTTCTGAAACATGTTGAAATAGAGTTCAAAAGTGAGCTTTCTGTTAGAAGATGCAATCTGAAGATACTTTAGTCAATGTTTTTCCTCATCACTCATGTCTAGTTCAATATGCTTTTCATTACAGGTTCAGCATGCAAGCTAATTTTATGTGTAAGACAATTTATACAGCTTATTAAAACTAAGAGATGTTTTAATTTATCACTTAATGTTAAGTTTTTCTAATCAGTTCACCACTTGATAATTATGTTATGTGTCTGTTTGTAACAGTATGGAACCTCCACACTCTCCAGTCCAAGAGTTCCTCCTATGATTGGCTTTGCATTTTTACAGTTAGCCTGTGTGTATCTCTTACACACAGCAGTGACATCATCCACTTCACTGGTATGGAAGCATATTATGATAACTGCTACAACTGCTGATGCTTATATTTTACTCTTAATCCTTTCAATCCTTGGATTGACTGAGAAGTAATTTCTCCCAACAGTATTGATACAATATCAAGCAGGAAGGTTATGAGAATAAAGAAAAATATCAACTGCAGCAGTATATGTAGCAACTGAGACAATATAATTTAACAATGAATTTGCCAAACAAATATGAGGAGAAATGCACCATAAACAGTGAAGAGAACTACCAGCAAGATCTTCAGTAGTAAACTGTAGAGTGGAAGGGTTTGAAGTAAACAGAAGTTGTTAATATTTATGTTTCCATCATTACAACAATGTATCAGCAGTTGATATAGATTGTCGATGCAACCTTGATAAATTTTGCTTATTACAAAATTGTTGATAATTATATTATAGATGGACTCTTCATGCTCTCAAAAACTCCACTGAGTTTTCATGATGTCTTTTAACTTACCTTCTATAGTCTCCATTTAGTAAAGTGTGTGAGAGTGTTGGTACTTCTGCTATTTAAACTGCCGTTCCATTCAAATTTAAATTAATATTTAAGAATGTCTCTAGGTACTTTAAACAGAAAGAGGCAACTTATCGGGTAGAACACATTATCTTGATCTGGCACCAAATTCATATAACTTAACATAATTTACAAGGAAAGTGTAGCAGCTAAATGGAAGAATCAGATCTTGGAAGTTTAAGGCAAAGTCATGAAGTATCAGCACTCACTTAATTTGCTCTCATTCTGTTGCAGTGGTTTATTTCAACACTGATATTTGGCATAGGCTTCTCATTATACACAGCAATAAATCTGTATGGAGTGCTGGCCATGGAGAACAGTCCACCAGGACTCGGCGGAACATCTCATGCAATTGTCGCATTAGCTGCAAATGGTGAGCAATGGCATTGTTACTCCAAGTCTTGTGCATGGGCAGTTTGCAGGATTCATGTTTAAACAGTATTTTTTAACTTAATATTTTAACCCTTTGCCCCCTAAGAGTGATTAGCATCTAACTTCTCCTTACAATATCACCCTTGAATCAAACATTAAGGTCATGAGAATAAAGGAAATGGTCACCAACTAACCAAAAAAGCTCTTAGTTCCTAACCCTGTAACTCCCATGGGTGACCAAAACAGAATTTCTCTTTACAATATCAAAACAATGTCAAGCAAATAAGAGAGGAGAATAAAGATAAATATCAATTACCAGGGGATTACTCATTGATTGAGCACCAAATTCTCCTCACTAACACTAAAAACATTGTATAAAGTACAGTAATGAGAATTGCTAAGAAATGAAGTCTTGATAGTGAAACAGTTAAATAAATTCCTTGCCAGCACCCTTGGAGAACAGTATGGAGAATATGCATACTGATGTAAGTGAATAAAGGGTTAATGTGCAAGCTTAATATGCAAACTCACCAACTGTTACTCATCTTCTGTGTTTCCCAAGTTTCTAGTGTGAAACATTACTGATCTTACCCATGCTAAAAACTTTCTCACACCTGCCTTGTGAGTCCACATTACTAGCTAAAACCAAATACCACAATCATGGCCTTCTACATGTACTGAATCAAAAGCTGCTTGCCAAAAGAGCAAGGAACTCTATCCCACTGTCAGCTAATAAAAAAACCATTTCCCCCCTTTTTTCACTGATTCATGAGTGGAATTACATAAAATTGCCAAAACTAAAATTCAAAGTTTGTGCTTTAAAATTCTTCTTACATTTAAAATCTTTTCATTTTTTTTAACCAGTAGGAGCAACACTGGCAGGAATTCCTTTGACGACAATCAGTAAGGTGTATGACTGGGGAGGCGTCTTTGTTTGTCTTGAGCTGGCATCTTTGTTCTGTGGCTGTTTGCTGATTGGAGCACGTAATGTCAACAGGCATATGATTGAACCTTCAAAGCTCCAGTAAAAGCTTTAAGGGGTGCCTCCTGGATAATGTTATCTACCTGAACAATTCCCAACTACTGTATGGCTAATTATTTTTGTGAAACTTATCTCGTGATTAGCAATTTACTGTATGGAACCTCCAGACTCACCAGTCCAAGAGTTCCTCCTATGATTGGCTTTGCATTTTTACAGTTAGCCTGTGTGTATCTCTTACACACAGCAGTGACACCATCCACTTCACTGGTATGGAGACATTCCTTGGCCTGTTTCAGATATTCTTGCAGTACACGGGGCACAATAGCAGCTCAGAAGGGAAAAAGCTGGAGACTCAATTAGGGTGGGGTTATGGGTGCTTAATGCTATGCAGTCAATACCTCCCTCCTTTTTTCAGCCCTAGTTACCAGGGTAACAGCAATGTGTAAGCTAACTGAAAGCTTGACAGTCCTTTTCAAGAAGCTGGATCAAAACAAATAACTGTCACTGAGATCAAAGGATAGCAGTTACATCAATTGAAGTCTCATAGATTGAAACTTGCAGTATTTTCATCAAATGAAAATTTAATTTTTAAGGAAAATGTTATAATCTTCTTGGGATGATTCAAATTCTTAGATTCAGAATTTTGAACCACTTGGTTTCACTTTAAAGTGCTAACTATAAATTCTCTGCTCTCTATGTTATTCTTCTTAGAACTTTAGCTTAATATCAAACAATGTCTTATTATATATGATAAGATGAATTATACAGTCAGGCATTCTAATTGTTTTTTACTTATGATCTATTGGAGGACAAACAGGTAGCTGACATTAACAATAGCAACATTTTGCTTTATTATTGTATAAGACAGTTAAATTCCATTTTGATATGGATCTGTGCAGTTACTGTAATAGATCACAGAAAATGTCAAAATGTGGTTAGGACATCAGTGACACACTTAGCTGTGCCTCATGTGTCACTTGTTCTTACCACATTTTGATATTATCTGTGATCCACTTCTGAACAGACCTACAGCAACATGGAATTTATTTGTTGATTTAATATTTTTTCCTTCTTATCACTTTTCTGATTTATAATAGATGGATTCATATTGTATGTGGAAGATTTGTTTTGGTTCCTTGTGTTAGTGAATGCTGAGGTGTGTGCCTTTTTGTCCTTTCAAAAGCTTCTGTAAAATTGATCAAACTTGACTTTTACCAGTTAATTGAAATTTGAAGTTGTCAAAGAAATGTTTTGCTCAGTTATAACTGTAATTTTTCCTTTTCTGTCCAATATGGCAAGTTAGGAGTTAAAGAATATATTAAAATATATTTTTAAAAGGAGTATGAAAAATTTTCTGGTATTAAGAAGAAAGTAATTGTAAGGTTAAAATATTTGCCTTAGTTATTTAATGAGTTGTATGAAATTATTTTAACAAGATTTATATTATGACACAATTATTCATTGCAGTGGAGGTTAATAGGATCAATATCAGTATCTGGGCAACTGCCCACCTACCCCTCCCCTAACCCAACATTAAGCCTGGCTTGTTATCAATGTTGGGTTAGGGGAGGGGTAGGTGGGCAGTTGCCCAGATACTGATATTGATCCAGTTAATATGGATGAATATTTGCCATGTCACAAAGCAGTGAGGTAAAATAATATCCAATTTCATCAATGCCGAGATAAATAATATAATTACTTTGATATATACCACACATCAGTACCAAAATTTAGTTTATTTCTCTTACTAGTGTATCAAAAAATGGTTGGAAACTAAACTCTTGATGTGCAATTTTGTCTCATTGGCTACTCAGAGGTGAATAGTACTTGCTGTTCACTTCAAATCTGGCCAATCAGTGGTTGAAACCACTTTTTACTTATAGTTATTGAATTTAATGTTTTCCAATCCAAACAATGTATATAATGTTGTGCTTGTGCAAATGTCAAATTAAAAACTGTTGCAACTTAAAACAAAATGTCATTGATACAGTGCGAGAACCTCTCTAAGATCTTATGAATTACTTATTTGCTCACATCAAATGTAGCAAGCATAGCACAATTACTGTGAAACCCTACCTGTAAAAGTCACCTTTCCCTTTGCCCCCATGACATAACTTAACTCTTTAACTCCCAAGATCTGATTATCAATTCTTCTCTCTAGCTGCTACAAATTTCATTGTATATAAGTTAAGAGAATTAGGTGCTAAATCAAGACAATATCTCCCTGATAAGTTCGATTATACTCATTACCTGGTTACTGGATAATGAATGTATATTAAAGGGAGAAATTAGGTGTTGATTACTTCCAGGAGTCAAAGGGTTAAAGTTATAAATGAGCTGACTGAGAAAAAAGTAATTAAAACAATAAAAACTCATTGACCAGCAGCACATTCCTCATACATGTATTACATGAGGTCATCCATCAATATACTGATTTGGCTTCCTGTTTAAGAGAAGGGGGTGCTTGATTGGTGTCAGAGAAAGTCTCTCTCTTACTTTGGTGGTAGTTGCATACGATGCAGTGATATTTAAGCCCATTAAACTATGCAAATGCAAAGGTTGTGTTTTGAAATTCTTGTCATAAAAAAAATCATATTTTAATCCAGTGGGAGCAAGAAATTCTGAACCATAAATGCTCTTCTGGGAAAAGTAAGTATGTCCCTCAATTTTTACTCTGATGAAGGGCTGGCTGACATTTGAAACATCAACTTTAAAAACTCTTTATGGTGGCCAATTTACAACTTCACCTCAGCTAATAAAACCAAATTATCTTGTAGTATCCTTCAGCAACATAGCACCACAATTTCTTTTAAAACTTCTTCCCTCTATTCACTTTTCATAAAAATAGTCTATAACATAATCGTCAACCTTGCAAGCACACTTTTATGCATCTCAATGGCATGTGTGTTGATGAATGGTGCAGAAATAGACAAAGTCAAAGGCACTGAATCCAAAAATTACATTCTTTAATAATGGTGACAATTAAGATTAAAATAAAATGATAAATGCAACAACTTGTTCACAATTTAATATAGTACAGGTTTTCTTAAAATTAAGATAATTTGTCCCATCTTTATGGACCAGCATCAAGCTGTTGCTTACTTAATAACCCTTTAACCCCTAAGACTGACTAACATCTAATTTCTCCATGACTCACACATTGAGGTCACAAAAATAAAGTAAGCAACTTAGGAAACAAGTAGAAAACAGTATGGAGATGGACACTGATATTAGAGTGTAAAGGGCTAACAATTTCAACCATCCCAGTAGTCCTGTTCTAACCATCCAATAATAGATACAGCAGCAGTTCATCCCAGGGACTTCAATCATCTTTCAATTTCTGCTCCTGCCATTCCATATCAAAGTCTAGGGGGAAAAAAAACAGTAACAAACATTTTGCAGGCTAAGGTGGGGTTCATCCAAGTAACAAAAACTGGTTAGTTACTTAACATAATGAAACAAAAGAAACTGTGGTGCTGCATCGGTGGGAAAAAATTTAGTGTTAAACTGGGTTGTACCAGCATTCAGTACAAAAGTACAGACAAAATTGAATGGCAGAGTATAAGAGGTACAGTGAGCACTATTCCTCTTTTGATATCTGTACCCTCTCAATCCATTCCATCAACTCATCTGATTCCAAACCAACAGCTGTAGCACTACTTAAAACCAAACTAAGTCAATTCTTTGTTTTTATTAAACACCCTTTCCTGAATGCCCTTAAACAATGATGTTTATTATCAATAACTACCAGTACCAATAAGTATTCATGTTTTCCACACAGCCACAATGTACATACCATCCTCACCGTCCTCCATATTCCCTGCTCTTTCTGCTTGAGCTCAGGCCATTGATACACCCACACCTTTCCCTTGTAACTGACAATTCAGTGTATATAATATAAACAATAATTATTCCAGTTGTACACAGTTGTTAACTTAACCATTTAAACCCTAAGAATGACTAGTATCTAATTTCTCCCTACAATATCACTCCTGAATCACACATTAAGGTCATGAGAATAAAGGAAATGGTCACTGGGCAAGAAACCTTTCGATTGGCAAACAAATTCTCCTTGTCAGCACCTTAAAAAATGTATAAAGAACAGTGTGGAGAATATGTCTACTGATGTTAGGGTGTAACAGGTTGACCGAAATCCCAAAATCTCCTAGTGACTTCCTTATGAGAATCTGGTTTCATGTCAAGACACATGCAACACCATCCCACTGATAAATTTGTCTTTTGTCATCACCTTGCAGCTAAATTCATTGAAATTTTAAGATAAATCATACTGGTCACCTCTAAGAGGCAGAGGCTTTAAGATCAAGCTGATACATTTAAATTTTAATTTAGTAAAACTGATACATACAGCATAAATCAAATTATGTAATCCCTACATCTACAAGTACATAACATTTAAACATTTAAAATTCTCAGCCAAAAAAATTTTGTTCTTCAACTAACCAATTAGCTATTTAAGGGAAAACCCACATATCATTTGCTACAAGTAAATTAAATAATATAACTTTTGGGTTCAGTGCGCACATGCCCTTGGCTTTGTCTATTCCTGCACCATTCAGCAACATACATGCCAAGAAGTTAGAGATGCATAATTGTATGCTAACAAGGCTGCCAATTATGTTTTAGACAATTTAACAGACAAACAAACGAAGCGTGAGTTTCTACAGAGATGCTACATCATTGGGGTGTGGGGGGTGGGGGTGTGTGTATTACAAGATAATTTGGTTTTAACAACTGAGTTCATATTGTAAATTGGCCACCTAAAGAGTTTCTAGCACTTTCCACACCAGTTTTGCCCATTTATACAATCATGCACCTCTGGATGATGGGAGACACTTCATCAACAACGACTTTATTTTATCTCCCTGCCTAAACTTTTATCTAGCTCTTAAACTTAATTACATCAGTTTAACATTGAAATTAAGTAAGAGATGAACATATGGCAAACATTTGTTTGACAAATTAACTGCACAAGATATGAAAATCCTACCAAATGTCTTGTTTGAGGGAATTTCTTGGAGGGGCGAAGAGAAAACAAACAATGACAAGTTGATGGCTCAAAGGATAAACTGGTGCAAGACCCTAAACAGTATGAGACAAAAAGGAATTTAACCCATGATGATTTGCTATAGTATGGGTACAAGTGTGTTATAAATTGAGTGCAAATAAGGTCTGGCTTGATGTGTTTGTTTCAAAGAGAAGTTACACCACATACATGTTAAACAACTGCAGGAATTAAGGGCCAAAACCAAGAGTCACATTTTAAAAAAAGTTTCAACTGCCCAGATACATGAACACTATAGTATTTACAAAATAAAATTATGTCATCTATAAAGGTGATGGCATTTTTGTTCTGGGATTGGTTTTGTTACATTATGGTCAAGGCACAAAAGTGATAACTGAGCTGATCAAATAACCCCCCAAAAAAAAAAAAAAAAAAAAAATTTCAGAAATTCACATTCAACTTTTTCCCTAAGTAAAGACAATTAAGCAAATAACATGACAGTTTTCCCGTTTACAGATCTGTCATTTTCTCTAATACAGTCAAGTACCTTCAGGAAGAGTTAGGCAATGGGGGACAAAATCAGCTCCAGGTGTTTTTTCCCAGAAAGAAGCTCCTTCAAGTTTGCACACAAGAATTCCACCAGGTCTGCAAAAAAAAGAAAGAAAAAAAAAAGAAAAGAGTATCCCCAAGTAAATTTGAGTGTACAGTACATGCCCCGGATTATATGAATTTAAAAACAATTACATCATGCTATAGTTTTGAAACAAATACATGTATTTTGATTATTTGATTATTCATTTCCTACATGCATGCCTTTTATTTTGTTTTTTTTTCACATGGATGCAATTGCTAAGGGAATTTTTCTTTTGTTTAACGTTCACCTGATACAGTGTTTGATTCCCATAACATTGACACTGTGTGGAGGGGCTACAAATAACTATCAATAATGGGGTGGGCAGGGGGGGTAAGTTTCTAACAGAAACTGTGATGCTGGGTCAGTGGGGGAGTATAACAAGATAATTTTTGGTTTTATTGCACTTCAATACAAGTGTTTCCTCACACATCTCAGTCTTTTATCTCATCTCAAATCTTCCTACCAGTGGAGAAACACTTATTCTGCAGAGCCAACATCAAGGCCTCCTTGCAGGCTATATTCCACTCAACAGCGTTATTGAACAACTACTGTAACAATAATCAATTCTTTGTTGCCTTGAGTCAATTTGATGCAATAAAATGCAGCTCTTTCTTGAATTTCCTTTCACACTCACTAAAGAAAGGTATGTCTATCTTGTAGAAAAATTACACTGTCAGTAGTTTTTAACCCTTCACTCCAAGATCTCATAGGCAATTCTCCTTACTGTCTGTCAAACAGTTCCTATGGTGTTAGTTCTGAGAATTTGGTGTTGGATCATCTAATAATTCCCTAATTGATATTATTTTGTCCTGTAGGGCTATTGTAATGAGAAGTTCTGTCTTGCTCATTCATGTGAGTTAAAGGGTAAAGGAGAAACTACCAAATGTATTTTGACTTGATCTCACCTCAGGGCACTGTGAGAGTCTGATAAACAACATCAGTGACACACTCAGCTGAGCCTTGTGTGCCACTTTTTTGTTTTTACCACGTTTTGACATCATCTGTGATCTATTACTTAACAGACACATGGCAGCATGGAACCTACAAGTACTTGTTACATAAAAAATTGCACTAAGTACTAATTCTTATTTCTCTTAATACTCTTTACTCCACTTACATCTGTACAACAGCATTGCTCAGCATACTGGTGACCCTGACAGTCTTGTCCATGCTTGCTGTCAACAATGAACCATCACCTCTGTTGTTCAGTGCCACATCACGGATGGCCTTCTGGTGAATCCGCACAAACTCACAACGCTACAAGTCTAAAGAACTCACCTAAAATTGCACAAACATATTAAAGAAAAATTGGTAAAACTAGTAAATAAACATGTTCTGGAAAGGTGAGACTGTGAGGCTGTTAGTGATAAATCACCTTGAATTTAATGCATAAACTTCTCATTTTAAGTCTTACAGTTTCTACTGAATGCAAAAAGATTGCATAGCATAATTCAAGTGAAGTGTACAGGCCATAAATCCAGGAGAAAAGAACAAGGTTCTAATATCACATTACAGACTAAGGAGTTGAGGTTATTAAGAAAAGACATTTACTTTACCTCTGGGTTTACATACAAGGAGAAGATTTCAATTCAAACAAGCCTTTGAACTAGCAGGTCATACAGTAAAATATTGGATAGCATAAAATTAAATACTGATAGTAATGATTGCAGAGTTTTTACAAACCTTTACAACACCAAATCCAGGAAAGAAAGAGACAACAAAGAACAAAAGACGCATAGCCAATGCCAAGCTGGCTATAACCAATCTTTTATCCAACAATCTGCAATAGAATAATTGTTTAATCAAAATCTTAAATCTTTGGATATCTGAAGCTCTATAACACCAAATATTAAGCTTGGTGCAATGTATTTCCATATAAGGTGACTCAGAATATGAGCTGATAACCAGAGTTGAATGAACCAATCAGCCATGGCTGTGGCAAAGCCTATGTGAGTGTATTACTGTATTTAGAAGTGGCATGTACAGTGTACATGTAAATTCAAGCTGTACCTGCGAAACTTGAAAAGAAGTTTGTAGAACATGATTTCCTTGATAGAAACCTCTAACTAGAGGTGCTTTGCCCAAATGTTCTTACAGTTGTTGATGCCCCCTCAGATTCTCAGCTGCACTGAGAGCATGAGCTGGACCTGGACATTTAATAATAGGATGGCAAATTGCAATAAAGTTCAGGACTTATGAACAAACCTTGTACCACACCAAACTAATTACTATTGTTACCTGCAGTTTACTTATCATTCTGACACCTGATTAGCTTATTCAAGAAACATTTTTGTTATATAAATTTTCTTCAGTTTACAACTAAACAGATTGGATAAAAAGTAGCACAAGGAACAAAAATATGACCTCCTCTTTGGGTCCATGACTTGAAACAAAAGTACAATACCAACATGGACATAAGAGTTCACAGACTGAGAAAGGGACCCCTATTTTGCAAGAAGACTTAAGAGTGTAAAATTAGAGGAAGGTAATAGATCAGTAATAGATCACAGATGATGTAAAAATGTGGTAAGAACAAAAAAGTGGCACACGAGGCACAACCGAGTGTGTCACTGGGTCAGCATTAGATTCCATCCACCAAAACCACCTTGGTCGAGAGGGACTGAGATGGAATGATGGACAACTCATGACTTGTTATACTAAATGAAAATTACGAAGCTACGACAACGTGCCGACTTATCCCGATGACCTAAGTGTATCATTTGTTTGGGAAATTGCGTCAAAACTTTTTACTCAAGAAATGGTAAGTATTAATTTATTTTTCGATTGTAGTATTATAAAACATTTTACGCAATTTTATGCAGATATTTCACGTATTTAAAAGGTGCCCAGATGTTACGTAGTTTTGGTGGATGTCATTAGGGAACATCCACCAAAACTTTGACCAAAACCATCAACAATATATTTTTTTAATTTTTCTGTTAGATGTTCAGGGAGACAAAAGATTTATACCACTAATTAGCAGTTAGTGCTCTGGCTAATTATTTTTTATGGTGCACAATTGCTGACCGACCAAACGTTCATAATGATTATCATAACTCTTAACACATAGAATAAAGTGGTTTTGGTGGATGTTTCTCTCCATCCACCAAAACCACCATAGCAATTTCTGCTACTTCCTTACAGAAGACTCATGTGACCTGCTACTTGGAGTACATAACCACAATCTATTTCTTTGTATGTAGAGATATTTTGCAAAGTTCTTGAGTCAGCACCTTTTATTATTGAAACCATAATCATAACATGGTGCACAATATAGAATACAAAAGGTTCTGGTGTGGTAATCATGTAATCTTGAAACAGGAGAGTTTTTAACTGACTTAAACTGATTCAAACAAACATTTGCAACAAAATTCCAGGTCCAGAAATTTCTTCCACTATTTCCGCTAAAATCATAACCTTTAAGTACAACAAATCAGCACATTAGTAATTGTTATCAGGGGTCTGAAAATCCTATAAATCTTTCGCATTTATTTCAAGTAACCTTTAATTTCACATGGATGAATAAGTATACTCTCAAGATGCAGAATGTCTTACATTTTACAAACTATTTCCCTTTTTATGGATAGACAGTGAAAGGCCTTTGCCACATTGGTGAATCAAACCATTGTATACCATGCATTTTGTGATAATTGTTTGTTTTTGCTCACAATATCCAGAAAAATAGAGGGGATAAATTTAAGTAGCAAATTCTATTAATGGTTAAAATTAAATAACATTGGAAGATCAAATTAACTTTGTACTGTTTAAAATTCAGTTTTGGTTTCTTGCTTATTCCAGCCTCTTAATATTCAAAAGCATTCATTGTCATTTTTGTGTTCTTCTGTGTACATAACTTGAAAAATAAACACAGAGAAAGGAAACCACAAAGGATTAAACTTGAAGCTAAAGCAAAGTTTAAGTTGAGCCATAGCTGATCCAAATACTGAGCACTTTGTATTGTAACCCATTTAGCAGTAAAGTTTATCTATATGTCTGCCAGCTTGTCACAAGTCTTACCCCTCTCCTTCAAAAGTCTCTATAAATAAATTTTTCTTTGTGGTCCCTAATTGATGATAAGTATAATACAGCTCCTCAATTTTCCTCTCTCAAGACAAGGTTACTCTAAATTTAACAAAGTAATGGACTTGATAAAACTCAAACTATAACTCAGCTGGCTGCTACTTGCAACCTTAATTTCTAGATATCAGTATACAATAATCAATATGTTATAAATAAGAACCCTAATGCTTAATTTTGCAGTGATCACCTTCCTCCTTTTCATTTGCAGACCAGACTGGAACCTCTATAGGTGTGTTTGCTTGTTTTGAGTGGGGATGGAAGAAAAGGAGTCATGCCGCATATCTGATTTATTAAATCGCATTTGTTCTGTTTATACATGAGTAGAACTACCTTGTTCTCTGAAAAAAATAAAATTTCTCGCATTTTTATCTGTGCTTTGCAGTCAAACTTCCTTGTGTCTTGGACAAGAAATCTTATTTTCTTGAAAACAAAATCTTTGTTTCGGGCCTTCTGTAATAGGTAAATATAACAGTGTAAGATGAGTGACAGTGTATTTCTCAAGTTATTTGTTGGAATGTGACAAAACGGGAGTGTCATAGCGTGATAAGGAGCAAACATATGATTGCTTGATAGAAAGCAAAAAATGCAGAATTGCATATATTTTCTCCTTTGTCAGCAGCATATGTTAGTGAAAAGTTCTTATAATTGTTAACTTCTAAACCATCTTCAATTTAGCCAAGATTGAACTGTTATCACGTTTGTCATAAAAGTATTCTGAGATCAATGTCATATGACCCATTCATGTATTTGACCTTTCGAATTAGCAAGCCATAGTTGACAGTAACACAAAGGTTGAGGATAAAAAGAAATTATTATATACAGTACTTCTTCTGCATATTTTCGTTTCCTTTTCTCTCCAGCTGTTCTATCTATGCTGTGCTGGCAATTGAACACTTTCCTTCGCAAAATTAGGAAAGGCACACCAGTAAAAAACGAATTTTTGCTCCTTAAATATCTCATGCATCTTCCCCCAGTATTTTGTGACTTCTGTCCGAGGAAGGAGGTGTAAGCATTAAATTAACTCGAATGATTCCACAATTGCGGTATCATCCAAGCCATGCCAGAGGACTTGAACTAGATAAACTAGTGAGAATGCACAATAGCGATAGCAAAGCTTTGAAATGCTAAAGAGCTATATCAATATATATATATAGATATGTTCCCGAAACCTTTGACAGCTTTAAAGAAAGAAAACTTCGTCGTCAATCCTATTTCAAATTCCGCAATAAGTTTAAGCGCCTCATCAACAGAATTTACGTATCCTAAATTATCTGCATGTCTAACATCAATGGTTCGCGACTTAAAATTCTCGCTATGCTGTTTCTGTTTGTTCTTCAAGAATCATGGGATTTACAGCTTCGGATGTTCGGCTACATCACTTGCGGATTTCCGAGAATCTTCGGTTATGTTTTGCAAGTCATTGAATATTCCATCTCAGTCCCTCTCGACCGAGGTGGTTTTGGTGGATGGAATCTAATGCTGACCGTGTCACTGGTGCTCTTACCACATTTTTACGTCCTCTGTGATCTATTACTGAACAGACGCATGGCAACTTGGAATCTATTTGTTTTATATAATAAAGAATTAAAAAAAGTTTTAATGATGACGTCATCTATACGTCTGTACTCCAATAGATCATAAGTGAGAACCAATCAGAATGTGTGCATAACTGAGCTTATTATACAAAATATATATATATATATATATATATACCAGTATATATATACCAGTATATATATACGAGATATTTTTTAGTTTATCATGAATAAATTCATTCACTTAATCATAAAAATCCTAAAACCATTCACTTGGGATCAATTGGGATCCATTTTCACCACTTTCTTAGATTTAGTCCAGATTCACAAAAGGAGGAGACTCTCAGCTAGAGTTCAATGTCTCAACAACAGATAGTACTTGAGCCTTTCAGGTAAAAGAGCTCCATGTGTGATCAAAATATTTACCTTCTTCCAAAGCCGGATGCCCACAAGTGAGAAATGATAGCCTGTGAGAACTTGAGTTTGACCATGGCATCAAAACAAATTGGACAACTTTGGGACTAAAACACAAGAGAGAAAAATTATCATTAAGTAGTACACATGATGTCACACACTTAAGTCAGCCATCACGTCATAAAAAGACAGACCAGCCAAGGTAAAAGCTGTTGTATTTAAAAATGGTTTAAAAATAGTTACAACCCAATGAAACTTTTTCAGAGAGTTCAGGTAAAACCAGCTTTTTACCAAAATCTATAGTCATCACAGATCGGCAGCGCAGACTAACATCCACCCCCCTTGTCCTGAATTCAGATTTTCAAATCTAACTTGTGAACATGGATATAGTCAGCTAGCAACATTGATAAGAAGGGAGGGGTCGTTTTCGCGAGATCAACAACATGCCAATGACTATCCTGTTAAGCAAAATGTCTGCTATAATTTTGCTCAGACTGATCAAAACTTACATCATGATCTTTTTCGGGTGATTTAACCGGTGACCTGGTATTTTTATCTTTTGCAGAAATGTTTTTAGTGGTTGTTTTCTCGAGCTTCATTTGAAACTCGTCTGAGGAATTCACTGCTAACACCCCAAGAACTTGTACATTTCTGGCGATCGCCGGCGTCACCTTTTTTAATCGACGACTGCATCTGGCGCGTTATTCTCTCGCTTGATTCCTAAACGTGTTCGTTTTTTTTGTTCACCTTCACACCTTCAATGTCCACTTCAATCTCTTGTTCTCGACGTTCTCATTTTTGGGATCAATATTTGTTTCTGGGCAACCGAGCTCGAAATAGGTGACTCGAGCTCGAAAGCCTATCCGAGCTCGAGTCACAACTCGACTAGAAGGATCCTGAGCAACCGAGCTCGATATAAGTGACTCGAGCTCGAAAGCCTACCCGAGCTCGAGTCACAATCTTTGTAATCGAGCTCGAATCAAATCGAGCTCGATTTGGTAATCGCGCTCGAATCAAACCGAGCTCGCGTCCGACCGAGCTGAATAATATTTGTTCCCGGGCAACTGAGCTCGATATATATTTTTCTGGCAGGGGGGGGGGGGGGAAGTGCAGATCATGCTCGATATAAGACTATCAAGGGGAAGAGATAATATTAAAAACTATGGTGAAGAGAAAAATTAAAAAAAATATTTAGTTTTTCCTGTTTCAAAGCTAGCGAGGTCATGATTTCCAGCCGTGTGCCTAGTATGGGGGAGGGGTGGGGAAAGGAATAAGGGGGGGGGAAAAGGAATAAGGGGGGTGGTGGAGGTGGGTAGAGGGAAGGGGGTTTGAAATGATGACTTTTGAATTGAAAAGGATTTCTGTATGTCTATAGCTTGCGTGACTGAATGTTTTTTTTCGTTCAAGGAAGATTTATGCGGCCGAGCGTTAGTTTATTCCTTCACATTCTCTCCGTTACTTCGCCGCTCATTCGCGCGGTTCTGTCACCCAAAACTTCCACCAGAGTGTAAGTTATGCAAGCGTCGTCATCCCCATATCCTTAGTTTGTTTTTCATGGTCAGGAAGCCTATAGATCTGCTCAGAGACAAAGCTTTACATTCAGTTAAAAAAAAGGTTAGATAGCTTAGGCCAGACTGATATGTCTCCATGTGATTTCTCTTTTCCCAGAGTATAAATAGGTAGAGATCTGTTTGGTGGGGCAACTGCAGGCTTAAACGATGGGTCGACCAGGGTTGTTGGGTTTGTGATTTTTTGGTTAAAAGAAAAAAAGAAATGTGCACTGTTTGAAGATTTGTGATGATTAAATTTGTGGCAGTTTTTGTTTTGCTAGAAGGCCGTTCGCAATGCTTTGGACAGTTTTTTGTTCTCTGTAGGTGAGATTTTTTTAAAGTTTTGCATAAAAATAGGTTTCAAAAAGTTGACGCTTCTCTTTTGTTAAGGTTGGCCCGCCAAACGACCACAGCGCCGGCTTTGTCGACCGCTTTAATAACTATTTTTTGGCATTTTATAAGACTTTAAGCGCCGCCCAAGAGATGTTGAAAAATTTGTTGTTCCGATTGAAATTGCATGACTGCATATGCACCAGACTATTTGAAAACAGAGGAGATATATCTCGCAGGACAACTCGTAGCTCTCGCCTTCTAAACATCCTACATTTTAAAACAGCATTTGGACAGAGAACAATTAATTATTGAATGGTTTCCTCATGCAACCAGTTGGACGATTCTTTTAAACTTTGTTACTCAATCTAGATTTTAAACGCAGATTAAGAAGTGAGCACCTGGAACGGTTCTTGCGGTCCTAGTCCTTAAGCTTGCAACCACCAGCCTTTTAGACATCTAGATCTAAAATTTTTACATTATACATTGAATTAAAGCTTGCAACAACCAAATTTTTAATGTTAAACTCTAACCACCAGATTTACATGTAAGATTCAAATTGCCCATTTTTTTTTAGTTACTTAAAACATGATGTTATTGATTTTTAATTGTATAATTGTCTTTAAAAAACTCTCTCAGGGATGTGTCACTTAAGTTAATTGTTTATTGTTCATAGACTTGAAACTATCTTTGTTCGAGTTGTTAAAGTCCTCATTTGGCTGAACCAAACCTCGAGCTCATCTTCTCTGTTCATGACCATCTTTTGTAGCTTCCTCAGAGGCTTGTCAGACAACTATGTTTTTGTTATTTTCTTAAATAAAATAGCAAAATTATTCATCTCCTACCTACTATTACTAAACTGTTCGCATTATCTCATTCTCGGGGGCGTGACATGGTCATTTGCGCTAATTGGCATAACGGAAATGCGACATTATATCACCATGGTGATGAATCCCAAGTAAAGGTTTATTAAGAATCCATAACTTACTTGATGTGTCATTTTCATTTTGCTCCGGTGACGAAAATTTACTGTGTGCAGTCCTTACGTCGATTTTCCGATTTATACCTACAATGTCTGGCCTAAGTTCCTTTAACGTCGCAACCGAGCCTGGAGATGTCCTGGACCAAAGCTTACTATGTCCGATATGGTAAGACTACTTTTTTCCTTTTTGAATTTGGAGCTCTGAGTCATTCGGTGTTCGAGTTTTGGCATTTCAATTTCGAGTTAAATGGAACATTGCGAGGAAGGAATTGACGAAAACCGCTCTATGAAGGCACAAATCGTTGTAGTTTTATTTGAACCTAATCCACCAGAACTTGAACTAGACTGGCAAGTATATTGTTAAAGAAAGATGTTATTCAAATTGGAACAACAACAACAATAAAAAGCTACTATCAAAAATTCTCAACAACGAAAAAAAGCTACCTGCAAAATTTCTCGGCTACTCCAAACGATTTCATCTTTGGACTATGGCACCGTTTGCTTTGACTTGTTACGCATTGCAGTTCAAATTTTTGGCTTTTTTTTTTTTTTTTAGCACAAACTACAATTTTTTGTCGGTTCTGTTTCTTTCCAGTAAGGAGTTGATGAATCAGCCCGTATCCATGCCTTGCGGGCACAGTGCTTGTAAGACCTGCCTTCTGGAGATGATCTCCAAACAGAGCATTGGCTCGAGACCTTGCACCTGCCCGCTCTGTCGAGCAAGGATCGAAGGGGCAAGTTAAACGTTAACGTAACAGTTAGCGCTTTGATTGAAGGATCCAGGTGCGTTGCACTAATGTCGGCTGCTCCTGGGTTGGAATGCATAGCGAGAAGGAAATGCACATGGACACTTGCCCCTTCATGGTTATTGACTGCCCCAATGGACCTCGTGGCTGCTTGGTTAAACCAGAGAGGTATGCGCTGAACCTGCACATAGCATCCTGCCCCTTTGAAAAAGTCCCTTGTTTTCATTGCCACATAGGAGTGGAGAGATCGACACTTGCTAGCCACGAGGACAACTGCCGAGAAATTCCACGGCCCTGCCCACTTCAGTGTGGAGAACAGTTACCAAGGTAAGTTTGTTTGACAGCCGAGGCACTTGATGCATTTCTAGTTAAGGTTACCCAAAACTAGACAGTAAGACACACTTACAAACGTAATTCGAGATCCGAAACTAACAGTAAATTTAAGTCGATGCATAAAGCGATAGAAAGTAATTGATAGAAACAGTTGAAACGGTTAAGCGATAGATCTGAATGGTTTACGGTCGAGTCGCCCGGAACCTGTGTCGTGTTGCCCGAAAAAAGTCGGCGGCCGTAGAATCAAATACTTTAAAAGATCAGATTTTCAGACTGTAATTAGGCAATTAAACGAGAAATCTTTTTTATTAAAGGCGCCATTTGTTTCCGACAACACCATGAAGATTCTAAAAGCATTGTTGGTTTCTAACAACAAAATGAAGCG